GCGTGAAGATGATACCTTGCGTGGGTTTTGAGCGGCTGAAGGGAAAGGAGAATTGAAGGGGTAAAGTTGTAAGAGGATCATATTCTTGTGGATGCTGATTATCCTTAATGGAAAAAAAACAGCAAATTACTTGTAAGTTTAGAGGAATGCCATTAGCAATTATGAGTACGTAAGATGAGCTCTTAATATTCCACATCCATTAATCATCAAAAACCAAAAAGGTGTAGCAGATCCTTTGACATGCATAGGTGGTGAGAGAGAAAATGAATGCATTCCTGTGCATCACTGAGACTTATCCCTGCTGGCTGTATTTGTTCTTCCATGGAAACAAGAAAGCATACCTCAGTAGTACATAAAGTACCTATGGGTTTCTAAATCCAGGCAAAAATTCCTCTAATCAGAGTTGCCAAGTTACAAAACAGTACTGTATTTGGGGGAGAAAATCCTTTCATTACTTAGTGTTAAAAAGTTTTCAAAACTTATCCTGTCTTTTTAAAGAAGTCCTATTGATTCAACAGTTTATAGGTTTGTATTTGACAGATCATTTGATGTGGTAAATAGGAACCATTCATCCCTGCATTCCCTCTTGCTGTGACTGCTGAAGCTAGAGTTGAAGCTGCCCATAAGTCCCTAGCTGGAGTTACTGTGCTCTGGCTACCACCCACTGGCATGTGGCCCTTGAGAATTGTTGCAAGTAAAAGTTGTTCCCAGTCTGGTCTAACCTCTGCCATGGCTGGCATGGGGCAGGATGGTATGGTTGACTGTCTATTATGATAGTGGTGCATAAGGAAGGTCAGCTGTACTGTATGCTGGCTTTTCTGTAAGCTAGATCACTTAATTGATAAGCAACTGGCATACGGATGCCCTGACACATGTTGCTTGCAATGCTCTTACTCAAAACATGATTGTGGAGATGAAAATAGCAGTTACCTGCAAACACTTATGTACCTGCTTAGCTGTATGGCCCATTGACTTCAGTAGTCCTGTTTGTGTACATAAAGTTATGCACAAATGCAAGTGTTTTCAGGATGAAGGCCTGAATGATAGCGATCAACACACATTTGCTGACTCATTCCTGCAGACTGGCCAAGATAGTTCATTTAGTTTTACACTCAGAGGATTGCAAAGTTTTTGTTTGATGTTTATGTGATAGAAATTTTTATGAAATCAACATTAATGTCTAAAATAGCCTTATTTGTTTCTGTATTAGTACAAGCAGGAAAACATTTAAAAAAAAAATTGTGGTCTGGTTTTCTGCTAAAAGCTTTCTATGTAGTTATGGGAATGATCTTCATCACCTTGAGCTGTGATTGCTGATAGAAAAACCCCACTCAATGCAACTTGTTTTATATGAGTTATTTTAAATGATCAGGACTAAATCTTATCTTTTACTGCACTGTTACACAAGAGGGTAGAAGATAGGGAGCAGCGGCTGTTATCCTAATTCAAACAGCCAAGAGTATGGTAGGAAGTACACTTGATTAACATGCATGAACTTGATCCATTGAAAAGGAGGACTATTTAGTCCCCAAATTAACTAGCACTAGGCAGAGGACATGCTTATCTTGATCAGTTCATCCTCGCTGAGCTGACTTACTCATACCAGGAAAATATTTCATGCTTTCTGTTAGCTCTGCTGGGACATTATAGCGTAATGTACTTTAACTCTGCCGCTCTTCCTTCTGCTGTTAGGACTCTGAATAAAAAACACGTTAATACAGTTGATGCTGGGGCAAGGATGTTAAACAGAATTACCATTTAAAAAAACAAAAACAAATTAAGCTGATTCAGTTGCTCTAATGACCGCACCGGAGCCTGAAATATATGTTTAGACTTTGTTAGGCATTTGGATGCCATAGTGATGAACATGAAATAAATAGGAGTCCTCTATCTATGGAGTGTCATGCCAAGTGTCCGACGTTATCCCACTTGCGTACCTCCATGCTGAGTTGGAGAAGCTACCTGTAGGCCTTAAGAGAGTGGTTCAGTTTTCCATCCCATTCGTACCTTGGCTTCTTAGCTGAGATTGCCTTACAGGGTGATAGTTTATTCCCAAGACTGGTGGTGACGTAGATGCTTACCCCATAGAAACTAGACTCATTTCACATAGGCCATAAACAACTATCCTATGGTAATAACTTTGTCACTACTGGCCTTGCACCTAGTGTACACTGGGCACATACTGGGATTTAATATCACTTTAAGTGCCTAAATGAGCAATTAGGTGCCAAAATCAGATGTTCAGGTGATTAACTATGGGCATCCAAGTTTGAAAATTTGGTCTAGGTGAATATAGTTAAGCTGAGTTGCTAGATGTCATGCCTGATAATGTCTCATATTAATTTAAATCCACAATTAATTGATCTAAAAAAGATTTAAATGCACTGTTCTAAATTCCATTACAAGTCCCTTCCTTCCCCTACAAGGGAACTGAATAATTCGTAGGATTCTTAATGAGATGTGGAGGCTTTTGCCCATTAGAATCTGGAGTACATATTGCATTAATATTGATATTATTTATATTGAGCCTGATCCTTTGAAGACAAAAGGAGTCTTTCTGTTGAGTCGAATGGGCATTGGATCAAGCCCATGGTGCCCAAAAAGTTTTCAGCATTAGATAGTGACAGAAAACTATTACGAGTTGTTCATTAGCCAATCCCAGGGATCGGCAACCTTTGGCACGCAGCTCAGGTAAGCACCCTGGCGGACTGGGCCAGTTTGTTTACCTGCCGCGTCCTCAGGTTCGGCTGATCGCGGCTCCCACTGGCCGCAGTTCGCTGCTCCAGGCCAATGGGGGTGGTGGGAAGCGGCGGATAGCACATCCCTCAGACCACACCGCTTCCCACAGCCCCCATTGGCCTGGAGCGACGATCTGCAGCCGATGGGAGCCGCGATTGGCCGAACCTGCAGACGCGGTAGTTAAACAAACCAGCCCGGCCTGCCAGGGGGCTTACCTGGCGAGCCGTGTGCCAAAGGTTGCCGATCCCTGGTCTATCCTAAGCAAAACTATCCTTGTGTCATACTATGTATTGTATTATAGATGGCTTTTTCTTTAAATTTGTGCTTTTGCACAGACAGTTTATAAACCTGGCTTAATGGTACTAACCTACACCAGGTATCTGAAAGTACTGTAAATTATATGCTGGTTGTATGATGCCTTTGAAAGCAAATGTAGTAGACATTATTGTGTCAGCAATGTCTTAAACACATCCCTAAATTGCAATATGTGCTAATTATTGGACCTCAAAGGAACCTGTTTTAAGGCCAAATATTGTCCTTGGCTATGCATGCACAAGTTTAATTGTATTTATGTAAAAAGGGTAGAATTTGGCCAACATTCCTTAGAGAATCTGATTAACGTAGAACAGGTTTAGTGAGAGAATTTGACACAGAGGACATTGGACTTGTTCTTTCCTCTTTTTAATTTGTTACCTCTATAAAGTTCCAAGAAGTCCTTTAACTTTCATTTGGATCTCATTAGAAATGGTCAGGAAGAACTTTAATTCAGAATTTAATCTGAAGAAACAATGCACTCTTTTAAAACTCTCTGGTACGTGCTACTGTACAATTTACATAATGCCTCTGGCATCACAGGCAGTACAAAATGTAGAGAACTAGTTAGAAATCTGTATAGCCATATTACACTTTTATCCTGCACTTCTCACACATAGAACATGTTTTGCTGTAGGTATGTTCTATAGGCCCTGGTCTATTTGCTGGTTACCCAAGGAACTGAGCAGCTATACCAGAGATTAAATCCTTTCAGTGGAAAACAATTCTAAAATTACCAGAAGCAGCTATCTGCCCTTGGCATTGCTGACAAAGCAAGCATAGACGTTCTTAAGCATAAGTTTGTTTCTGTATACCTAGATACTAGGGATCAGGAAACCATAAGCAGATCTGAAAATGGGTTGGTAAATAGTTTGAATCCTAGTTATTAGCAAAATGCTGGTAAGTGGATTTTAAGCTCTAAAACCATGCTTGCTTTTCACTTGCAAATGCATTTTTTTCTGTTCACACTGATGTGCCTTTTTGATGTAAATAGTGAGAGTGAGTTTTAAATTTATTGAAAATTACAAGGTTATCTAGCGGGAGCATAAGCTTTCGTGGGTAAGAACCTCACTTCTTCAGATGCAAGAAGTGAGGTTCTTACCCATGAAAGCTTATGCTCCCAATACTTCTGTTAGTCTCAAAGGTGCCACAGGACCCTCTGTTGCTTTTTACAGATTCAGACTAGCACGGCTACCCCTCTGATACTTGAAGGTTATCTAGGTTTATTTAGCCAGGAATTTTGAAGTTATGTTAACAAAAATGTTAAGAGTATATAATATTTTACTAGCTTGATTTTTGTGATGACTATGAATGTTACATGTTTTTAATTAGAAGCTCATTACAGCTGTTAATTTTTAGATCTTTTACACTTTTTATTTCTTACCTCCACAGATTAATCAAGGAATAAAATACTATTTCCCTCAATATCCGTTTCCCCAAAGGCTTCATGTTGATCTCTCTTGTCTTACTGGACAAAGAGAGATCAACCTGGCTTTCCCCCACAGCCAGTCAATATCACCACAGGACTGGCTGGTGGTGGTCACTTCCGAATTATGGGTCCATGCCTGTAAACACTATTAGGCATAGTGCAGTGAGTAGTCCCATTGACTACCATGGGAATATGACTGTTACCCTGTAGCAAGTGTTGTGGGGACTGAGCCTCATGTAAAGTGCTTGTTTCCCCTTCGCAGCATGCCCAACACCTGTCTGTTCATGGATGGAAGAACCAGGTGAGAGATGGAGAATCTTTAATATACCAGAATAGTCTGAACGTTATTCAGTTCTTAGATTTAACAAGTAGTTCCCCTATGACAGTAGAGTTTTATTTCTTCCAACCAATACACAATTACATTTCAGTGGAATGATAGCAAAAACTAAATCTACTGTGCATCTCAAACTTGCTGTTTTGGATTTGAACTCATTCGTGTAATTTTCTGCATTGATTTTAGAAGGAACAATACCGGCGACAGAGGGAAGGCATTACAAGTGATGCTTCAAGTCCTGCAGACGTGTGATCACCCTGCTCCAGATATGTTCTGCCTGTGTGGGAGAATCTACAAGGACATATTCCTTGATTCTGACTGTAAAGATACCAGTAGCCGAGACATTGCCATTGAATGGTAACAGAAAAAGCAAACCCATTTAACAGCATTTTCAAAGTTTTACATCTGGCTTTGAAAAAACAGCAGAATTTATCTAAACAAGACTGTGCCAAATTATGAGCCTAAACTCCAAGGTCTTTACTTCCTCACAGTCTTTATTTAAGCAAACTCCTACTGAAGTAAAATTTGCACTTGGTTTAGTCAGAATTGGGAAAACTTTGAGTAAGGATCTCCATTTTGGCCAACTGTATCTTAGTGGTTTTTTTTTTTTTAAGGTCAAACAAATTCCTGGTCTCTCACTTTTCTCTATGTATTGGTATGGGTTGGGAATGCTGCACAAACAGCGAATTCAGGGTGAAATTCACCTCCGTCGTGCAGAGACACCACAGAAGACCTAGCACTATTTACATCTCACTTAAACCCCACTTTGAGGGTTTAAGTGAGATGCAGGTAGCGTATAGGCCTCGTGCTGGTCTTCTGCACAGGGAGGAATTCTATCCTCAGTCCCATGAGGGGATGCTGAGGAAGGAGATGTCTCATGTTGCTCAATAGCAAGTTGTCCAGTGAGTTTAAGGAGCTGCATTGATAAACTCCATTTAATGCAGTCATGCTGCATACATGTGTATACACAGATATATATATATGTAAGCCGAATATTGTACAGTAATTATTCAAACGTCTGCTGATTACAGTAATGTTGATGGTGTATTTTCTGGATCGTTACTGTAAAATACTATATTTTCTTTTCAAAGGGATGTCTCAAGCAAAAGTAATATTACAATGTGTGCAGGGAATAATGAACCCCCAGGATGTAAATGGGTCTCTCCTGAAATTAAATAAATGCATAAAAACAGTTGGCTCTAGATAATTTAGCCAAGTTCATGGGAGTTTTGCTACTAAGGAACAGGATTTGGGGCATAGAGACATAAAGAAATAGAACATGTGTAACACTCAGCCCTTTATGTAAAATTCTCACTAAGAAAGAACATCTTGCTGCATTTTCCTTGATATTCTTATATCACCAGTGGAATAAAATGACATTCTGTTGTATTAAATGTTAATTTTTTAAAATAACTAACTCAGATTTTCCTTCCTCCAAATCATGCAAATTGATGGGACACAAAATTGTATGCAGGTCCTCTGCTCTCCTCTCCTCTCTTCTTTGACGACAGGTTAAATCAGTGGCTCTCAACCTTTCCAGACGACTGTACCCCTTTCAGGAGTCTGATTTGTCTCGCGTACCCTCAAGTTTCACTTCCCTTAAAAACTACTTGCTTACAAAATCAGACATAAAAATACAAAAGTGTGACAGCACCCTATTACTGAAAAATTGCTTACTTTCTCATTTTTACTATATAATTATAAAATAAATCAATTGGAATATAAATTTTGTACTTACATTTCAGTGTATAATATATAGAGCAGTATAAGCAAGTCATTGTCTGTATGAAACTTTAGTTTGTACTGACTTTGTTGGTGCGTTTTATGTAGCTTGTTGAAAAACTAGGCAACTATCTAGATGAGTTGATGTAACCCCTGGAAGACCTCTGTGTACCCCTGGTTGAGACCCACTGGGTTAACTCATGGTCTCTAAAGCATTCCCTTTTCAGGGTGGTGTTGGTACAAAGTAATGAACATATTACATGGTCCCTAAAAATACTTTTTTCCCAGGGACGATGAGCCCCTTTTTTCACAACTGTGCCATGTTTTGTGTTTAAGGCACAGTAAGATGTGAGCTCTAGACTCTTTGTCTCTGCAGGTACCGCAAAGGATTTGAGCTCCAGTCAAGTCTGTATTCTGGAATTAACCTTGCAGTTTTGCTGATTGTGGCAGGACAGCAGTTTGAAACCTCTATGGAACTAAGAAAAATAGGTAAACAAACAATAACTTTGTGTTCTCTTTAATAAAGAACAATTGAATTTTATTTTGCAGAGATGGGTCTGAGGTGTATTCATCATTGCCCCTTGGTCCCTTTATGCCAGCTACACCAGCATAAAAGAGGCCACAGAAGGAGCATAAATCTGCTCCAGGGAACACCCAGATATGAGTGACCCCTACAATTGCTGCAGAGACAGCTCTGTGCCACCTCTTCAGGAACCCTGGGAACAGGGGGGGCGGGGGAATTAGAGCACACAGCAGAGGTGGAGGGAGGTGGTGTAGGCAGGTCTGGACCTGTGGCCCAACTGTTCTGCACCACTGCAGTGGTTCAGAGTTACTATTGCAACAAAGGTGTAAGTTAAGGGGCATTGAGGGCCACTATGGACACAGAATCAGGGAGACCATCTCCCCCCGCCCTCCTTGTATCAGTGCAGAGATGAATCTGGCTCAAAATTTGGTTTAGCCCATTATAGAATTAGGAGCCAGTTGCCCAACTCAGATTCTAGTTTCCCCAAAGTTCAAGAGCTTGATTGAAACCCATCCCTGATATAGATAGATCTGTAAAATAAAACTGTTGTATTATAGATTCAGTTGCATTCTAGAAAGGTAATAGCCAAAAATCAAAGTTCTACATTTGGAATCTGATCCTCAGCTGCACCAGAGCAGCCCTTCCTGCAGCAAAGGAGGTCAGGGGGATGCAAAAGTGTCTTTTTAACCACTTTTACACCTCAATCCTGGGACCAGACTGCACCAGCCCCTGGCCTAGGGACTGTTCCAGCAGGTGGGGATCTCTAGGACATAGGGACACCTAGGTACATCCCCTACACTGGGAGTCAGTGTAAGAGCTCCTACAGTGGCCCTACACAAAATAAATCCTTCACTGGCCAGTTGAGCCATGTTTAAGTCTGTGTTTTGTCACCACAGCTGTACAAAGTAGCCTTAATGGGGTCAAAGCATCTGGCCCATAATCTCCAGGTAGGAGTAAATACTCCCCATTCTTTCATTAATGACAGTTCCATCTCTGAATGATCATTATGATAGTGATAGCAAAATGTGCAAAACTTTCATTTAAAATAGAAGCATTCTTTCAATGTGAAATTTCCCAGGTGTGCGGCTGAACAGTTTGTTGGGAAGAAAGGGAAGCTTGGAAAAAATGAATAATTACTGGGATGTGGGACAGTTTTTCAGTGTGAGCATGCTGGCCAGTGACATTGGTAAGGCAGTGCAAGCAGCGGAGAAACTGTTTAAACTGAAGCCTCCAGTTTGGTAAGTAGTGTGTGCTCACATTAAATGCACATATTGTCTCGGTCAAAAGTGGTATCTTTTGGGATTTTTATAACTAGACTGGACAAAATACTAGAAAATGTCCAGCAGGGAACAATCCTAACCAGACAATTGGATGAACCAGATGACTTAACACATTTTTAAATCTCAAATTTTTGCAATTCTGATTTGAACTTTATTCTTTATTATGGGTTTTTTTCTGGTAGAAAATAAAACTATCCATCAGACTGATAGAGCTGGTTTTAGATTCTCCTTCTACGTTAAGGGGAGGAGGATGGTGGAGATGACTCAGACTGAATTAGAATTCTCTTCTAAGTATTGATATGTGCAACCCATTCTGCCCCCCATGTGATCACTCCATTGGCATCACTACATAGGGATCCATTTAACCATGTACTTGTCAAATCAGTTGTGTATAAAAGCATACTATAGATTCATGTCTAAGCTTGATATCAGGCCTATAAATCTGTAAAATCAACACAGTCATATGTAAATGACAGTATCTTGTAGAATACATTTAATTTTGTTTGAAATTACATTTGAGCTACTAACTTATTAAAAAGCTTTGGGAGGGGAGGGGGATTCAGAGTCCGTCTCAGTTTCTCTCTCTCTCTTTCTCCCGCCCGCCTTGACTGACTGTATATGTTCTAGGTACTTGAGGTCATTAGTCCAGAACCTGTTGTTAATTCAGCGTTTCAAGAAACTCACCATCGAGCATTCTCCCAGACAAGAGAGACTGAACTTCTGGTTAGATATCATTTTTGAGGCAACGAAAGAAACCACTAATGGACTGAGATTTCCAGTAAGATGCCCAAATAGGTTTTGTAACTAATTTCCCCAGATCTTATTGAATGGCATTAACCAAAATCTATCATTTTTTCAATCTCCTTTCTTCTAAGTTGTCATTTGACCAACCTAAAAACATCTGATGCCTTCTGTAAAGTACAGTAACAAATACACCATAATAATATTGTTTTATTGTAAATAGGAAAAAAACATGGATTTTATCAAACAAAAAAAATATGTAATGTCTGGTTTGAGGTTGCTTATTATCCTATATCACTATCCTTCTTGAGATCTTACGGTATAGTTGCTGTTACATTTCACTAAACAGAACTTTGGGTTTTTTAGGTTTTAGTGATCGAACCAACTAAGGTCTACCAGCCTGCATACGTGTCAATCAACAATGAAGCAGAAGAGAGAACTGTCTCTCTGTGGCATGTCTCGCCTACTGAAGTGGTAAGACAAATGGCAAACACATTTCACATGGCTAATGATGCTTTGTACTTGTATGGCTCCTTTTTCATCTATGGATCTTGAAGCACTTTACACTTTTCTACATCCCTGTGACGCAGGACAATTAATATCTCCATTTTACACATGGGGAAACTGCGGTACTATAGAGAAGGTGAAATGACTTGCAGATCTGGGATTATTCAGCGGCTGATCTCAGATTAGAATTCATGTGTTTGTGGCTCCCAGTCCTGGGCTCATTTCACTAGAACATGCTCTATCAAAGTCCTCCGTGCATCTGATGAAGTGGGTTATAGCCCATGAAAGCTTATGCCCAAATAAATTTGTTAGTCTCTAAGGTGCCACAAGGACTCCTCGTTGTTTTTGCTGATACAGACTAACATGGCTACCACTCTGAAACCTTTCGGGTAGCGTGATTGATACTGTTATCCTCTTTAATTTTGTTTTTTACATTAGCACATATGATTTTACAGAGATACAATTCAAAGCTAACCTACGTTGATTTAGTTATTATTGATAAAGCACCATAATGTGCATGGCATTGTTGAAATTGTAAAGGTTTTCCAAACGTAGGAGGCAGCATGAAAGAAGATAGAAGGTTGTGTGCAGGTGAAGGATAAAGTCAAGAGACAAACTTTGTTGCAATATGGGGTTATGAGAGAGGGTGTAGGAGGAAATTTATAAAGAGATGTGATGCAGACAGGTATGGAGTTGTCCAAACCTTTAAAAGTGAGAAGTAACTTGAATTTGATGAGAAAGGAGAATAGAAAGCCCAGAGTGATCAAGAAGGGGGAGATATTGTTGGAAAGGCATGAGAGGAGGACAGCTTTTGCAGCCTCCGTGAGGTAAGATCTGGAAAAGAGGTATGATAGCCAAAGAGGTTATGATAACCAAAGTAAGAGATGACCAAATAATGGAACAAGGTTTTAAATGTTTGTGCATCCCTGAAATCTAATCTGACCTGGTGTGGTGGGGTTGTGCACTGCTCCCAATACAGGCCACGGCATATATGACACAATTTTACCTTACAAAGCAGATTCCTTGTGGACTGCCCTAACCTATGTTAGCTGACAACAGTAACCAAGACACCATCCACTTGCTGGGGACAGCTGGAGGGCAGTACTTATGGTCAGACTCTGTCCATCTCCCTCCAATTATTTCAGTGCCAGAGCTTCCTGGGGGAGAGAATTCATAGGAACCAATTATGCTAGCGCTCTGTCTGCTGAAAACAGGAGGGTTCTATTCCTAAAGGAGAAGAGCACGGTAATGGATCTGCCCTATGTGTGGTTTTTAATGTGAAAGGATTGCTTAATCAGTCCAAAGATGCACTGTTTGGTAAATTACACTTCAAGCTTCAACTTTGCTTTTGAAACTGAATTTTACACTAGAAAATATGTATCTTAATTCACTGTGATATTTTTTTAATTGCTTTTCTTCAACTGAGTTAAACTAGCATTGAATATAGGTCCTACATCTACCCAAATCTATTCATCCTTTCAAATAAAAAAATGGAGATGTGGCTATTCTTGCCAAGATCCTATGTATTGTATGACTTTGCTTTCAAATAACAAACTGAGACTAACCTGTGGTTGACTTAGATCTTTGTTCCTTACAGAAACAGATTCATGAATGGAATTTTACAGCTTCCTCCATTAGGGGAATAAGGTTGGTATGTTTGAAAACAACTAATTATGGTTTCACATTTAATGTTTCACTGTCAAATGATCATGCCTTACGATTTGAGATAATGAACTCTGCTTTTCATTTCCTGTTGAATCTTTCTTCTACTTAAACCGCTTCAAAACATTGTAACAGGGAAGAGTCTGTCTTTCCTTAAGTCAAGCAGAGCAGTGAGCTTCTGCTGTATAGAGTCCAACCTAAAATGTTGGAGTTCTATTTTGAACTGTATTTATAATTTTTATATTCAGCTAAGCCGGGGTTGCCAAACTTTTTGACACCATGACCCCATTTTAACTAATTACTTCCTCCCAGGACCCCAGACAGCCTGGAGGATGCCATTTTGTCCTAGAATATGACATCCTCTGCACAGAGTGATCTTGTATGTATGATGCATGTGAAGTCATGCTGTGCGGAGGATGCCATTTTGTAGAGCAAAATGGCCTCCTCGAGGCATCATGACCTTGCACACACTGTACATGTGAGGTCACACTGTGTGGAGCAAAATGGCATCCTCCTCACACTAGGGATCACCACAACCCCATCTGCTGATGGTGTGACCCCGTTTGGGGTCGCAACCCACAGTTTGGGAACCACTGAGCTAAACCCACCCTCAATTGGTGCAATCACGCTTTGTTAGTTCCATGTCACTGGAAGCTAGATTTCCAGGAAATAAATTGTAGTTTCTTTTCCATGGTTGACACTTTTGTATTTAAAAAGAAGGATGAGAGAGGGCTGGAAGAGGCCAGCTGAAGACATCTCTTACATTAGGAGACATCTATAGAGAAATCTTCAGGCTGCAAGAAAAGTACAGGGGTTGCCAACTGTCTAATCTCACAAACCCAAACACCCTTACCCCGCCCCCTGCCCTGCCTCTTCTCTGAGGCTGCACTCTGCTCACTCCGTCCCCCCTCTCTCCGTCGCTCACTCTCTCCCACCCTCACTCACTTTCACTGGGCTGGAGCGGTTGCGGGCTCTGAGCTGGGTTCGGAGTGGGGAGGGGCTCTGTGCTGAGCCTGAGGCAGGGGTTTGGGGTGCAGAGGGGTTGCAGGCTCTGGGCTAGGTCCGAGGGGTTTGGAGTGTGTGTGTGGGGGGCTCCATGCTGAGCCTGGGACAGGGGGTTGGAGTGCAGCAGTGGGTGTGGGATCCAGGAGGGGGCTCAGGGTTGGTGCATGGGATTGGGATTTGTGAGGGGTGCAGGCTCTGGGAGGCAGTTTGGGTGCAGGAGGGGGCTCTGGGCTGGGGCAGGGGTTGGGGTGCAGGAGGGGGCTCATGGCTGGGGCAGGGGGTTGGGTGCAGGAGGGGGTGAGGGGTGCGGGCTCCGGCAGGGTGGCGCTTATCTTAGACGGCTCCCAGTCAGCGGCACAGCAGAGCTAAGGCAGGCTCCCTGCCTGCCCTGGCCCCACGCTGCTCCCAGAAGTGGCTGGCGCATCCCTCCAGCCCCTGGGGGTGGGCAGATGGCTCTGCACACTGCCTCCGCTCACAGGCACCACCCCCGCAGTTTCCATTGGCCGCGATTCCCAGTCAATGGGAGCTGCGGAGTCGGCACTCGGGATGAGGGCAGCATGCGGAGACTCCTTGCCTCCCTCCCCGCACCCCAGAGGCTGCAGGGACGTGTTAGCCGCTTCCAGGAGCAGCACAGGGCCAGGGCAGGCAGGGAGTCTGCCTTAGCCCCGCTGCGCCACTAGACTTTTAGCAGCCTAAAATCTTCCGGTTTGGCTTCAGTAGCCTCTGGGAGATAGAGCCTGATTCTGAGAGACTCCCGGTGAAACAGGGAGGGTTGCCAACCCTCCATCTCAGACCCAGATAAGTGATGTGTACAAAAAAATACCTGAGATCACATCAGCAACGGTGATTACCCAAGCTAGGTGTAGGAGCTCCTGAGAGAAGTGAACCAATGGGTAACTTCTCTTGTCTTGTCTTCCTGGAATTTCTTGATCAAGAAACAATTAATAATATTGCCCAAAAGCTTCTTCCCTCAGTTCGACAAAGGATTAAATTAAATCGAACTCTAAATGTAATTTTGCCAGTTAATAGTAAAAAGTCAGCCATGTTTTCTAAAATTTAATTAATTTTTTTTTAACAAAGTTCGGTTGTAGTTTCTTAGGCCATGAGTTAGTTTAGTGTTAGCATAAAACATCAGTCCAATAAAGAAGATACATTACAACAAAGAGCTGTGAACTCAAAATCCTGGAAACATTACAAATAACTTACCCATATAATTGAGCACTTGAAGATATCACATAAAAAAAACAAAGAATTTCATATTTCCTCTCAAGTATAAGTAATGACCTCAAAACAGTACCCTTTTGATTAAATAAAAATAATACTACCTTTCTTGATTCATTAACCAAGCAATAAAATAATATAACAAGATTATTCTGCTCTGATTAAAGTCCTCAGAAGAGAGGAAGCACAGAGATGAAATAGATGGGAATTCTGTAGTGGCTCTGGGGAAATAATCTTACCCCCTAAGACTGCTGTGCATCCATTGCTGCAGTCTCACACTCCTGTGGGTCCTGGCCCCTTCTCCACGCAGCTTTGTTGAAGAACAATGGCTGAGGGAACCACATAGCCTCCTCACTCCTTTCCTAGTCTGTCCTTGCTCTGCCTCCCCCTCTCCCCCCACACACATAAGTGCTGGTGCAACAGTATGCTGGGAGCATGGGTGCTGGATCTAGGGGTGCTGCTGCACCCACTGGCTTGACGTGGTTGCCATTATATACAGGGTTTACAGTTTGGTTAAATGGCCCTCAGCACCCCCACTACACAAATTGTTCCAGCACCATTGCTGGGAGCCTTCACAGAGTTGTTGGCCCCTCGCTGTAAGGATCTGGGTCTGAAGCCTGGGTCTGCTGGTCCCTGAGCAATCGCTGTGTCCACATTGCCACCAGACAGCTCTGTCAGAGCAGCAATTGACAGGCTGTGAACGTAGTGGGCCCAAACACTACTGGATATGCCACCCCCGAAGGATTTGATTGGCAGTGCTCCCAGAGTCCCCGATTGGTCCAGGTGCACTACTGAAGCTTGGAGGAAGCACTAGGAACAGGAAGTTGATCATGCAAATAGCTTCTATGACAGACCCTGCTCCTTTGCCTTGCTCTAAGTTTCTGCTCTTATCCCTGGCTTTAGTTCCTGGCTTCTGACTCTGTCTCTGACCCTCAGCCTTGACTCCTGGCTTCCAACCTCGGCTCTGATCCTCCGTGCTGGTTCTGGTCTTCCAATTACAGCTCTTACCCTTGGTTCTGTTCCTGTCTCCTGACCCCAGCTCTAACCACTAGGCATGGTCGCCCAGGCCCCGACTGTGGCACTTGCACTCAAATCCTGCCTACCTGACCTTCAGCACTGCAGAACCACCGCTAGTCCTTCTGCACCTGTGCAACTGAGATGGGCGCAGCCAGGATTTTCCCTTTATTGCACTGGAGAAATGTTAGGTTATTTTTGGTCCCAACAAGTTTCCAAGACCAATGAAATGATTATTGTTGCTGGTGTGCACCGTTACCAGATAAGGAGTCCCTTAGCGTGCAAATTTTCTAAAACACACATTACTTACTTTACAGTGGGCTTAGTTTGCATTATTAATCGTTGCTTACCATGGTAACTTTAATTGAATAGTGACAATTCATTTGCTTTGGCTCCTTTCTTAATCATTTCTGCAGACTCTAAAACCCTTGGAAGTATAGTTTTATATGTGATTGAATTAGATTTGATTTCTTTTAACGTTTGTGTTTGTTGATTTTGAGTTATTTTGACCTCTTCATGCTTTTGAAACTGTCACCAGTTATTTAATATAGAATAGTACTTGTAATCTTAATTCACACTTTTGTCAAATGTAATTGTTCTTTATGGTAGCCAGTTAATCTTAAATTCCTGAGGCATTCCTATATAGTTTGTTATATTTAGTAAACTGAAAATCATATGCATGGATACTGACTTGTTTCCCCTGTGTATAACCTTTGAAAATTCACATAATTTTTTATTCTAGTTTAGTCAGCTAAATTAATCTGCCTCATACATTTCTACACCAGAGATTGCTTCATCAAAGCCAAGTGATACAGTGACATTTGAAATGGAGAGTTTTATTGTGTGTTTTGTAAAGTAATAGAGCTGGCTGCAAAAAATGAGGGTTTCCTCCCATGTTACATTTCCAAAGTGAAATTATTACTAAATACAACTTTTTTTAAAATTATACAAAATGTTTTCTTTGTTTTGGCCGAATTCGCTCTATGTATTTTAGAATGTTGGCACTGTTGTCTTACCCTTAAATGTTACAGCAACCCAAAATATTGAGCGTTCAATTATTTCGTGTTCTCAAATGAACAATGCCTTTACAAAGCAAGGTGCCTCATACACATAAGTAAAGTGTTTGTCAAAGATTATTGAATGAAGGAAGAAAATATCATTTAGAGTGAATTTTGCTTGGGATCATAAGGACCATGAAAATTTCCAAATGCAGCTGAACTGCAGAGGTTCTCTTACAAAGTGGATACATAAAAGACCTCTGCGAACTCTACACTTAGTTGAACAGGGCTTCATGACAGTTCTGTGCAGTCTAGTGTGGAGGGAGAGCCTGGTGACTGCTCAGGGAAGGGAGGAAGGGGTTGCAGGAATTGGCAGTTATGCAGATCCTATGACTATGAACTCCTATATGGGGGATGCAAAATGTTTTGCAATTCAGAAGCTATTCCAATCCAAAAGCTAATAGCAGCTATGAAGGGACTGTAGGACTTCCATGTGCATTGTGCATGGACTTAAGGTGGATTCCATTCTCCCAGTTCCTGCATAGCTCTTCAGCACGTAGCCCATTTATTTGGGTTCTGTGGAGGGGTGATCAAAGAAAGGCAATTTTTCGAGAAAGGACCTGACCTCAATGGCAGATGTGGTTACGTATTAATCTGGTCTTTAAAAGGTTCTAAGAAGCTTACACACTAATGTATGTTGCCATTATTTCCTTTTTAAGGTTGATTGCAAATGTAACAGAAGTATAAACTAAATTTGTTAACGTAAACAAAGACCGCCCTGGAATCTAAATTGATGTTAAATCAGTTCAGTTTCCACACCTGGGCAGTCAAATACTAGGAAATCATATGAGTCTACTAAGAAAGGTTTAAAAAAAAAAAAACATCTGGGATGAGGTTTGTCCCTGTCAAAGTCAGCATTAGTTTTGCCTGACTTAAATGTGGCCAGGATTTCACCCTCAATAATAGGTGACACAAAAGAGATTTTATATGTAAGGAGAACAATTACAGCTATTCTTGCATTTGTGAGAGAATTAACTGTCCTTGAGAAAAGAAAAGTTGTCTGAAATTGAATAATTCCTAAGATATTACTACCTCCTCCTCCATGCTGTCTAATATGAATCTATAGAGTAAAACTTTTTTTGATGGAAATTTTACAGCATATCCAAGTTTGACGAACGATGTTGTTTTCTTTATGTCCATGACAACTCTGATGATTTTCAAATCTACTTTTCCACAGAAGACCAGTGTAGTAGGTGAGTTGATTTTACCACAATAAAACTTCTCTGGTATGTGACTGGCAAGGGTGTGGAGACTTCCCAAAAGTGGGGGAACTGGGGGCCCCTGCTCCTTCCCTGGCCAAGCCAGAAGCTGAAGCGGGGCCGGGGAACCCACCGTCCCCCCGCTTGGGTTGGAGTGGGGCTGAAAGCATCCCCCTGCCTGTGTCTCCGCCCCCCCCAGACCTCCTGCCTAGGGTAGGTGGGGGGATCCAGGCTCCCCAGAGCTGCCCGTACAGCTCTCCCCGACCTGGCTCCAGCCGGGGGCAGGGCCACAGAGTCACGGCCTGGCCATGATAAGAGCTGTGCGGAAAGTTGTGGAGAGCTGCAGCGGACCCTCCATCTGCCGCGGTATGGGAGGCCCACCAAGAGCAGTCCTCGGCCCGTGTCTCCCCTACCCTCTGGCCAGTGCTGGGTTGGGGAGAGCTGGCATGGATTCGCGGACCCTCCACCTGCCCTGGGCTGGGCAGGGAGCCCGGGGGGCAGGACATGGGCTGGGGGCTGCTTTAGGCTCCCCCGCACCGCGGGCAGGTGGAGGGTCTACATGGCTCGCGGCTCCCATGACTGCCCAGGCTCCCCAGCCGGGCTCCACGCTGGCCTGGCCATGGGGTTGGGGCTTGGGGAGAAGAGGAGGGGACGGGAACAGGGTCCACCCTAGTGAAAAGCCAGGCCTGTCCACTTTCAAAAAGTGGGAGGGCCATGGCCTCCCTGTTCCCCTCCCCCGGTTCCGGCATCACTGGTGACTGGTATATAGCACTTAGTAGAGGACAAAAACTGACAGTGGTGAGCATCCTACGAAACTCAGACAGTGGTGCATGCAGCTATTACACTGTACATAGCATTGGCAGGGGTGCCTAGGGCTGTTTTTCAGATGAGAAATAAAAGTTCATTTGTGCACTTATCATCTTGAAACTTTTTTCTCATTAAGAAACTATTGGCCGAATTCAGAGTCATTTTGGCTAATGACCATTAATAGACCTATCCTCCATGAACTTATCTAATTCTTTTTTTAACCCAATTCCACTTTTGGCCTTCACAACATCCCCTGGCAATGAGTTCCACAGATTGACTGTGTTTTGTGTGAAGAAGTACTTCCTGTTTGTTTGTTTGTTTGTTTGTTTGTTTGCTTCCCTGGGAATACCCCCTCACCTTAGAGATATTGTGAAGATAAATTACTAAATGGCTGTATAGCACTCAAGCACTAAAGTAATGAGTGCCATAGAAAAAATATGCAGAGTTTAAAATGCTAAAAAATTAGCATTTCTTTCTTTAGAGCAGAGTTTGAATAGTTTGCAGTAAATAAGGCATGGGCTACACATGGAACAATGAAGCTAAAACAAAATATTGCATAACTGCTAATTAAATGAGCACCATTTGTTCTGTGTTCTTAGGGAGTCCTGTGGAGAAAATAGTATGTGATCATTTAATTAAAGACTGCATCATAATGCATACACATAAGGCGGCCAAATTAAAGTTGCACCAGGCCACAACACCATTCACTCAATTTTGGCTCTGCCACGCACCCCCCCATCATGATAGAGGGGCCAACCTAAGTGGGCAGTGAGGAAGCCAGGTCTGCTGCTCCTCACTGGTGCCAAGGGGCTGGCTCCTGCAGTAGGGTCCCCTGCCTGGCCGTGCCCCATTTCCAGGGCCCCAGCCCTAGGCACCCCTGCCAATGCTATGTACAGTGTAATAGCTGCATGCACCACTGTCTGAGTTTCGTAGAATGCTCAGCACTTTCTAAAAGTCAGCCCTTACCAAGGTGTCTCAGATTGTGCACCCGAAATTGAGGCACTGAATATCTCTAGTCACTTTTAAGTATTTTGGTTTTCATGTTTCTGTAATTGCATTTATAAAGACTAGGCCATACTAAGGCTAGTCTACAGATTTATCTAACTGAAACATTGTAGTTAAAAGAATTACGATAATAAACCCCAAACAAATGCTTGGGTACACTGCAGCTGATTAAACCACTTTGTAGATAAGTAGGGTTTTATTTTTCAATATGTTTGATATCTTTCCTCAGATAAACTATAGTAAATGTAAAGATGGAAAGTTAATGAAGGAACCCTATTACAGTTTGTTAGTAAATGTATTGCTTTGCACATGGATTACAAAGTTCTAGCTAATCTTTTACAGAGAGGGCGTTATCTTTGCTGATTGTTTGATACTTACTGCTTGCAGATTCTGTGGCTTGGTTAAGGAGATTTTGACTGATGCTGTGGGCAGTGCTTTGGAATTAGAAGGAGAGATTGATGGGGACACACTGGAAGTAAGTCATGTTTATGGGTAAAATAGCTGAAAACCCTAAACCATTTTTTCTTTTCCATTTTTCCTCCCTCATATGAATTTGTCTGAGAAACAAGGATAAGGAAATAACATTTAAATCCTTCAAAATATATAGAAAATTGCAACACTCCTGTAACTCTTTATACAAAACAGTTAACTTTCTTGTGGGGGGAAAATACAGGTTTGTATGTAACATAGTGCGCCATCTACTACAGTGGCTGGAGTCATATAAGTACATGAGAATGTGAGTTATTGATCTTGAAAATTATTACACATGTGATGGATAGTTGAGAATCACCTGATCCTGGGTGGAGTTGGATAGATAATGATAGCTGGTATTGCATACTTCCCAAGAAAACCTATTTAGAAACTGCCGCTTAGTTTTTCTAACCAGATCCAGGATGTTGCCATCTCTTTGGATAAATTAAATGGATAGGCTGTTTCGGCGATGATTGAATACCAGACTCTTGGCAATGTGAACACTGGTCTTTTCATCCAGAAAGTTTGGAATTGTCAGTTTTGAGGGTGTACACTGCATTCTGTTGTTATATTGCAATTGGGAAAGCATCGCTAAAAGATTGATGTCATTTTTATCTATGGGCAGGTAAAAGTAAATCCAGCTGCTGTTTTTAAAAAATACTTACTCTTTGTAGTTCACCTGAACCTAAGCTCTTTCTGCTCCTGTTTCTCCCATCAAAAGCCATTGCCAAATGGGCACTTCCCAGGAGCAATTTACTTACCTTTAGGATGCGACTAGGTCTTCATGATAATGAATCTCCTGTAGGAGTTGACACTTCAAGCAGGAATTGGGGGAGGGAAGAGTTGTTCAAGATTGTGCACTAGCTGAAAGACAAGGTTCCACAACCAAGTCTGAGAGTGCTGGCCATAGAATTCTCTCATCCTGCCAATGTAAAGTGCATCAGTTGAGAGAGTCTCTTAAGGCTCAGCTAAATAGTTCACATCTGTGGCCTCAGCATTTACTGTAGAGAAAACAGGATCCGTGAAGCAGTATTTTGCTTGGTCAGAGATATAGTTATATCTGGGGCAATGGGTTTTACATTGCATATTTGTGTACTTAGCCAACAGCAAGAACACTTCCTAACAATACAATGTATTTGATTGAGGAATAATCTCTCAAAGGAAGTAAGTTCACCATAGCTTGAGTCTTTTAAAAACTGAACTGAGCTAAATGCTTGAGGATACATTGTAGGGAATAATAATGCATTGATAGGTTCCATTTGTAAAAATGGTGGCCTAATGATATATATATTGCATCTTTAAATTGCATGATTCTGCAAGCAACCTGCATTTTTTCACATGTATTAAATTAAGTTTACTCTATTATGCAACAAGGGTCAAAGTAGAAATCAAGGTGTGGAAGGCAAAGGCAGAACTCTATCCATACAGGTTGCTACCAGTCCCAAAAGCTATTTGGTTTGAAAGCCCCTAAACAGATTTGTCTATATGGGAGAAGGGTTTTTTTGGGTTGGGGTTTTTGTTTGATTGGTTTTTTCCCACTGTTATAACTTGCCCATTGGAACTTTGGTTGATTTGACATTACAGTCCCTAAAAAGAAAAAGAAAGGAGAAAAAAGAAAAAAGAAAAACAATAGTTTTAGCTAGAAACAGCTGGTTCATAAATGAGATCAGACATGTTATATCACTCCACAGTTATAGGTTATGAAGTCTTGTCACTTAAAGAGGGACTATCATGCTGTCTGGAGTGGCTCATGACCATGAGTGCCAACCTCAGGGCAGATTGTCAAGAAGCAGGGCAGAAAGCCCAAACTGGTTGTATATTCTATAATTAGATTTCACCAACCCAGTAACAAATGTGAATTCCCAAAGCACTATAACAGACTTACCATGTAGTCACAGACAGTCTATCTTACCATCAAGGCGAGTTGAATTTAGGGATAGTTGGTTGCTGTACACCAAAGATTGCAAAATATTCAGGTTGCTACCAGTCCCAAAAGACCAGTCACTCACCCCATGTCAATTTGTACCTTAGATCTGTCACCAAAGATAATGCTTGTAGCCAATCCAGTAATAAACCAACTAAAGATCTATTAACTAGGGAAAAAAAAGTGAGAGAGTTATTACAAAGTTAAAGCCGGCAAACATGTATACACAAATGAGGTAGTCCATAGTTTTAAAAGGTGACAGAGTTGTAGTAATATGTCAGCTCTGAATGTCATTTAGGGCTAACCCAGGTTGACTCTGGGGATCTCTGCTTCTGTTTCATAGCTCTGGTCCTGTGAGTCCAAACAACAAAAAAGAGATGAAAAATTTTCCTGTCGGTTGTTTTTATTTTCTTCTTCCCAAATTCAAGCTGATGGGATGATCCCTTTTGCACTTAGCCTCTTCATGGGTATGAAAGGGCAGTTAACAAAATCTTTGTATTGTGATGTCCCATTTAGTTTTGATAGGCCTTCTTGGTGGTTGGGAGAAGATCCCTTCTGATTGAGTTCACAGTTTCAGAGCAAACATTTTTTACAGTCATAAATCAAAAGCTTAAATATTATGATATAGCATGTGATAAAGATATAATAAGTGAAATTAATGCATGCAGCAACCTACAAGCATCTCATAGAGTCTAAATACTAAACACGTTGAAAGTCCAATACCCATCTGAACCGTATTAACAAATGGGTGAAACAGACTGGTTTCCAGCAAAGAATTTGTCAGTGCTCAGCTGACGCCTTAAACGTTGGCAAGGACTCACACCCGGTCTGCCAACGTTGCAGTGACAACATGAAAAATGTTGGGTGACATGTTCTTGATGGACTTGATGAGAGAACCTCACCTGGAAACCATACATGGTATTAAGGGGAAAAGAAACTTTGGAAGGAAAAAGAAAACCTGTGATCTTTCAGTTTTCAGTCAAAATTCTTGTGATTACGAGTGTCATCTGGGTAAAGGGCTACATGATAGGGACAAGGTAGCATTTGAAAATGATTGTAACTTGGAGCAAAGGCTGCTGTTAACAAAGATTTAGATTTAGAACTAGAGCCAATTTGGGGATTCTTTGAACCAAGTGGGATTCACTTATATTACCTTTTGTGCACACCTGGACATTAATACTGAGAAAGTTTCTATCACTGGAAAAGTTGTTACTGAATCCCAACTAGGAAATCCCCTAGGCCTGGGAACACCAGATTGTGTGCCTTGACCAAGGTCTTAGGAGAAACACCTGCTTGTTCATAACTGCAGTTGAATCACTCACGAAGGAGGCTCAGTAGTTGATCATGTGCACAGATTTTCTGTAGTGGCAAACTAGTATGGATTTATTGTCCACCTAAAGAAAACAGAATGGAAACATACCAAATTGCATCAGGTACACAGTCTACTAAACCTACTGTCAAGCACTGAATTACACATCTCAACTGACTTCACATATCCTGGGAAGCATGCTAGGGAGCATGGACTCCTTCTCTAGGCTGAGATGAATTACCTTAGGACTAGTCTGTTGCAGAGCTGCACCTTGACCTCAAACTCGGTCATGCAGCTGTGTCATGCCATAGCTGTGAAACCTGGGTTTGCTACTGCCAAAGAACTTGACAAGTTTTACTTGTGACACTTTGGTCAATTGTGCATGTCATATAACAGGATAATTTTGGAACTTTGAAGAGCTAAAACGTGGAAAATGAAACTATATTAAGGCTACGTTAATCCAAGTTCAAATCCACTGAGTAGGATATGGTGTTAGGGTTAAACAACAACAGAATTCCTTAGCATGTTCTGTACAGTGATACAAAGATGGTGATCATTTTGTAAATGAACAGAGAGAATTTTGAAGGCATATTGAAACAGCAGCAACTTAACTCAGGACATGCTCGAAGAAGACAGATCTCGAGGTTGCATTCAGTTTCACTGCATGACATGGACATATTTGACATAGCAGAAAAAATGGTATCACGAGAGAAGTGTCTATTAATTACAGCAGTAAAAAAAATTAAAATGATGTTACCTAGGTAGGGAATTCATATAGACACAGCATGCGAAGCCTGAAGTCTCACAGATTGGGCATAAACAGCCATTTGGATTTGGGAAGGAACAAGGGGAAATCTACATACTCCAGTCGTTCATCTTGGAAATTATAAAGCTACACACCTCTTTAAAAAAAAAATCTCTGTTTTCTGTTTGTGTAAAAGCTTTCAAAATGTCATACACTAATTTCTCACTCTCAAATTTGTATATGAATCAAGACTGCACTGTTTAACCCATCTCTCATAATAGAGGTTCATTTAGTGCCTGTGAATTTGCTTCATGCATCAGTAGGCTTTTTGTCTGCAGAGATCTTTGCAACAGAGTTCTCTACAATGAGGTCACAGTAGTGGACCAGATCCTCAGATAGCGTAAACCAGTGTAGCACCATTAAAGTCAGTCACCTGCACCGATTTATACTAGCTGAGGATATGACACAGTATGTTCCAACAGAAATGTATACAACTACTTAGTTTTGTATTTTTAATTTCCTTTTAGAAGATCAGCATATTTTTAGGGCTATCAATTAATCTCAGTTAACTCAAGCGATTAACTCAAAACAAATTAACTTGATAAAAAAAATGAATTGCAATTATTTGCATTTTTAATCGCACTGTTAAAAAACAATAATGGAATACCAATTAAAATTTATTATAGATATTTTTGGATGTTTTCTACATTTTTCAAATATACTGATTTCAATTACAACACAGAATACAAATTGTACAGTGCTCACTTTATATTATTGTTTTTGATTATAAATATTTGCACTGTTTGGGCCCGATCCTGCATTCCATATTCAGGCAAAATTCCCTTTGAGTAAATCTATTTAGCAATTATGTATCTGGACTCCTGTTAGGGAAGACCACATTTTATAAAGCAAAAAGTAAATAATTAATGACCAGTAAGTTTTTAAAAATTATGTATGTATAGAACAATATACATTTCATCATTCTTACTAAAACTTATTTGCAATCTGAAAGGTGGCTGCAGTTGTAACTATTTGTGTACCATTACGTATACCTTTCTGCTTTCAGTATGAATATGACTATGATGAGAATGGCGATAGAGTGATATTAGGGAAAGGTACTTATGGAATAGTTTATGCTGGAAGAGATCTTAGCAATCAAGTCCGAATAGCCATCAAGGAAATCCCTGAGAGAGACAGCAGGTGAGTCTTAGGCCTTGTTTACACTACAGAGAAAAGTCTATCTAAGCTATGCAATTTGAGTTACGTGACTAGTGTAACTCAAGTCAACGTAGCTTAGATCTACTTACCGCGGGGTCCACACTACGCGATGTCGATGGGAGACACTCTCCCGTCAACTCCCCTTACTCTTCTTGATCCGGTGGAGTATAGGAATCAACAGGAGAGTGATCTGCAGTCGATTTAGCATGTCTTCACTAGACCCCCTAAATCGATCACCGATGCATCGATCGCTGAATGTCGATCCCCCAGTAAGTGTAGACAAGCCCTCAGTGTAGTAATAAACCTGCATCACCAATGAAAAATGCAGTTTGTTGCTAAGACTTTTTTCCTTTCTAAAATGTATTTATGTATAATGGTTTGTAGTATAATATTCCAATACATGATAATTGAATTAATCTATATAAAATATGGCTTTAATCATTCTGTTTAGGGGCAACTTTAATGTCTTCCTCTTTTCCCAGTACTACCAAACCACCAAAAATATATACTAATTTGATGAAGTCCTTTGTGGGGATCAGGATTTTTTAATTGTTTGAATAAAGAGTCCGACATTATTTCCTGGAATATTTTAGATAAGAAACAGCTTGTTTTCCATGTAGCAATCCAATCATATTTTTATCCTTTTTTGAGAAAGGGTTTTAAACCATTTGAATATGTCAAACATAGAGCTGGAAAACGCTAGGAAGAGATGCATGTAATCTCCCCCCCTCCCCCAGTGCACCTCTATCTTTGTGGGAAGCTTTTCTTGTACTCCATTGCTTTGTGTTTTCTGAAAAGCCAGCCAGTCATGCTGAATTTAAAGTTTAGTGACTAGAAGGTTTTGGGGGACTTGGATGAAACCACTAAACTCATTTTATTTGTAAACCTGGATTTAAAACTAGGTCTCCAAAGATGTTAGTCAAGTATATTTACATGCATCTTCAACTGTTCCTCAATTTACTACTTCTTGATAGGTATTCTCAGCCATTGCATGAAGAGATAGCGCTGCATAAATATCTAAAGCATCGGAATATTGTCCAGTACCTTGGTTCTGTCTCTGAAGATGGATACATTAAAATCTTTATGGAGCAGGTGCCAGGAGGTTTGTATCATTCTGGACTGGGATTTTCAAAGGCATCTAAGAGTATTGGGAATCCAACTCCTGGGAACAGTCAATAAGAGTGGGGCACTTAAATGCTTTAGGAACTTCACTAAATCCCAGAACTAATGCGTTGCTACACTGTAGGTGTCCTTCCTGTTGAGAAGTTAATTGCTAGTGGCATTTTTCTGTTTATAAGCAGATTCTCTGTAAGTGAACAATAGATATGAAGTGGTACAGTTCTCGAAATCCTGTAAAATCCCTTTTTATAATAATTACACACACACAAACTATGTTAAAAGAATATTAGTAAGGTTACAAAGTAGAGCACTCAGAAATTAAGAAATACCAGAAGTAAGGTTGTTTCCCCTTTGGCCCAAGCAGTTAGCCAGTATTCGGGGCGTTGCTGTTAGGAGGAGGACTTGATGATACAAGTCAGTTATTTCTTTAGTGCAATTCTAATGTACACAAATTCCAGTTTCCATGAACAAAGTAGAGACAAATAACAGGACGCAGTTTCCTTACTCATAATTTCCAAGTCCAACCCCTCCACTTGATTCTGTGCCTCAGCGAGCTTTGTCTCAGGATCTTGCTCATGACTCTTCTCTCTGTCTTCTGGCTTTCTCCCTTTGGCTTTCTGCCTCTCATGCACACACTGCTCATCAAACAATAATCTAGCTCCTGTGTGTGCAGCCAAGGAACCCCTCAGATCAGATGGCTTAGCTTCTGATCAGATTTTGGCATGAGGCCTTGGGTGGTGGCTTCTGTTGTTTCCAGCTATCTCATTACATACAGAGGCTTAGTTGCTCCTTTCATTTAGACTGAAAAAAGAATGCTCACTGCATCCATTGGTTTTAACTGTGTCTGGGGGTATTTTTCTTCATAAGACCACCGCCTCACTCAGTGAACAGAATGGACATTGCTCACTTAATGAACTGCTGTTCAATATTTGTTATATCCTCACTGTTCAATGTGTGGTTCCAGGCCTAATTTACTGCACACAATTGCTCTGAAGACAGAATTATTAATTTAATCATGGGCTTTTCTATGGCACTCATCACTATAGTATCTGAGTGCATCACAAATGTTAATGAATTTGTTTTCACAATGCCTCAGTAAGATAAGAGAGTATTATTATACCCATTTTACAGATGGGAACTTAACGGCACAGAGACATTAGTTTATATTTTTTACCTTAATGTTGGATGCCCAATTTGAGACAGCTGGGTCCTGATTTTTCAGAATACTTAGCATTAGTTAGCACTTCATATGTTCAAAGCATGGCTCCTATTGACATCAGTTGCTACTATGAGTGCTTGGCATTTCTGTAAATCAGACCCTCAGTCATCATGTAGGGCACCCAAAAATGACGAAAACACAATTAATGCCCACTCATGAAAAGTTTGGGTTAAATGTCTTGCCTAGCACCACGTAAAGAACTCTGTGGCACAGGCAGGGATAGAATCCAGTTCTCCAGAGCATCATTCAACTGCCTTAACCACAAGATCATCCTTTCTCTTCCTGCAATCGCCTGCTTCATTTACTACACCCTTCCAAATTCTGCAACAAATGAGATGGGACGCCTGTAGACTACAGCTTCTTTCACTACACAACCCTGATTCATCACCAGAGCAAGTCCAGCCTGCGCACTGAATGAGGCAGGGATCCTGGGGGGAAAATATTATGTGATCAGGTAATTAAAGACTGTTTTATAATGCGCGCACACACAAGGGGACCATCTTAATTCTGGCATTTCCTAACTTTTGGGTGCTTAATAATAATGCTTTTTTTCCCCTGTGTGTATAATTGCCTAGGTTTTTAAAAATGGAAACTGAAAAAACAGAAGTTCCATCTGTGGCATCATATTGATACTCACATAGTTCATTAGCATGGCTCTAACTTTTAGAAGAGAGGCTGAGGGAACTGGGTTTATGTAGTCTGCAGAAAAGAAGAGTGGGGGGGAATTTGATAGCAGCTTTCAACTACCTGAAGGGGGGTTCCAAAGAGCATGAGCGAGGCTGTTCTCAACGGTGGCAGATGAAAGAATAAAGAGCAATGGTCTCAAGTTGCAGTGGGGGAGGTCTAGGTTGGATATTAGGAAAAATTACTTCACCAGGAGGGTGGTGAAGTACTGGAATGGGTTACCTAGGGAGGCAGTGAAATCTCCATCCTTAGAGATTTTTAAGGCCCGGCTTGACAAAGCCCTGGCTGGGATGATTTAGTTGGGGTTGGACTAGATGACCTCCTGAGGTCTCTTCCAACCCTAATCTTCTATGATTCTGTGATCCACCACACAGTTCTCTCTGCCAATTGAGCTAACATAGTAACTGATAGCAGTAGTAGGTTGTCATGCCCTCTAACACCAGCACTAGAGGGGAATGATACACACTTTGCTTGGACCCAGCATGGCCCACAGCAGCTGAGAGCTACAATTGCAGGGGAAGTCCTGTTCAATCCTGGGTGGGAACATGCCCAGTGCAAATGAAATGTTATGGGATTTTAACCACTAAATTCACCAAATTCTCTATTGAGCATGGATGAATTGCAGTTTTTGTTTTCCAAAGGCTGATAAAGGCTGGTGTCAAATTTGGATTAGATTTTTCAGATAGATGTCGAAAAGTACAGGCCTGACAGAGAGGCCACCTCCTGCCAAATTTAAAATTCCTGTTCCAAATTGCCAGACATTTTAACCACGGGTAAAATAAGATAATTTCCCTAAGCCCTGTTCTCTGAAATGGCTGCAATATTTACTGAAGCCTGAGGCAGACACCCAGCATGGTAAATTCATCCCAAATAGTTCAAATTTGGCAAAAGTTATAAGCAATTGAAAACAAGGTCTTCTAATGGGAAGGGGAGCAGTGGGGGCAAAATACCTAAATGATTCCAAGACTGAGTTTGATAAGTTTTTGGAGGGGTTGGTATGATGAGACTGCCTACAATGGCATGTAGCTGATCTGCGATTCTAGCAGCAAATATCTCCAATGGCTGGTGATGGGACATTAGATGGAGAGGGCTCTGCGTTACTTCAGAGAATTCTTTCCCAGGTGTCTGGCTGGTGGGTCTTAGGGTCTAACTTGCTGCCGTATTTGGGTCAGGAAGGAATTTTCCCCTGGGTCAGATTAGTAGAGACTCTGGAGTTTTTTTGCCTTCCTCTGCACCATGGGATCGCATGCAGATTTAAACAAATGTAAATGGTGGATTCTCTGTAACTTGAAGTTTTTAACCATGATTTGAGGACTTCAGTAACTCAGCCAGAGGTTAGGCGTCTCTTGCCTGAGTGGGTGGGTGAGGTTCTGTTGCCTGCAATGTGCAAAAGGTCAGACTTAGATGATCACGATGGTACCTTCTGACCTTACAGTCTGAGTCTAAGTGACAGGTAACCTTTTTAATAGCGGTGGGATTAGCCTCCCCACCCCATAATAATTCCCAGACAAAAGCTTTGTTTAAGTGGAAGTATATATCAATAATTTGAGGGTAAAAATCCTTACCAAAGCTATTAAAGAGGCAGGAAAATCAAAGTTAAGGTTAAACCTTCAAGACTCAGACTCAAAAACGGTAATTCAGAGTGCATTTTAAAAATACATTTGGGAGGCATGAGACGATAATCCTGCATCCATTTCACTCCCTTCTTTAGGCTCCCACTGCCTCATGACTGTAATGTGCTTGCTTGCCAACACTGCAAAACACATGCGCCGACTTTCTGATTTCCCCGTGGGTGCTCCACCCTGCTTTGCCCCAGGTCTCACCCCCACTCCAACCCTTCCCCTAAGGCTCCACCCTCTATCCACCTTTACCCACCCCCGCTTCACCCCTTCCCATTCTGTCACTGAGTGTGCCCCACCCTCGCTCTGCCTCTTCCTGCCCCTGCACCCCTTTTTCCCCCCACAGTGCCTCCTGTCCGCCACTGAACAGCTGAGCCCACACTGTTTTTTTTTGTGGGTGCTCCAGCCCCAGAGCATCCATGAAGTCGGCGCCTATGCTGCCATGCTAACATAATGGCACATGTTTGTGCTAAATTCATCCCAGCATCTCCAGTCCAGCTGGACAGTACCAGCTGCTGTTGCTTACCTGGTGCTTTATTCTGTCCACGCACTCCTCCTCCCATATATGTTGTAGTGCACTCTGAATAGCTGCTGGAGACAGGACATGACTGCACTAACATTTACATTTCTTCACCACCAGCTAGCCTTAAAGGGACAGCTATTTAGAAAACCTGTGGTTCAATTCTGTCAGGAAACTTCCAACTCAGAAAGCTGTTAGCATGGATTGAAAACTCTCTCAACTAAGTTTGCTAGAACTTAAGTAGAGCCCATTGTAAATTCTGTGTCTGACTTGTCATAAGCAGAAATTGTTGCAGAAAATGCTGCTATGTGAGCAAAGAAGTTGGTCTGTTTAAAAAGATTAAATCTGGTTCATTATCTCCACTAAGTAGGAGAAATAACAGCAACCCATCTTCCAATCTGAGTGTATGAGGCCTCCAGCCCCTGGTTTTCTTTTTGTATGAGGCCTCCAGCCCCTGGTCTTCTTTCCTCTACCTCCATCTATTCCCAGGAATCAAGGCTATATTAACAAATCAAAGGGAGGTGGGTTTAGACTGCTTTGCTGTCAGAGTAGATCACCTTCTCTTAACTTACATGGTTTGTCATATATCATGTGACATACTATGACATTCACCCAAGTCCACGCTGTTTTTCATTAAGTGCCAGAGTGTGGCTGACCCTAACGTGCACACCTAAGAGTTTAAAGGGGAGTGAGACCAGTCCTACCTGACGTACAGCTTCTCACATCATGGTTTAAGGATTGGGTTGTGCATTAGTTACTTCCTGCCCCTTTCAATCAAACAGGTGGTGGAGATGGGTAGGAAATGGATAGACACTTCGCTCTGCCATTCCACTGATGTGCCAGCCAATGGAGCTGAGCTGGCATGAAGTGGGAAATAACCTGCATCCAGTCAAAGGCTGCAATAAATCACTTCTGCCCTGGAGGAAGTGGGTGACCAGCAAAGTCTTGGGCTTATCCTGAAGTGTTGTAGCTTGTAGCTACACCCCACCACCATCCTCAGGACATTGACCTGAGATCCACCCTAGCTCTAAATTTATTATTACTGTCCTCCAAAAGTTGACCTTGTGACTGTGCTATCCTGACATGTTTTCCTGTTTATCTAACCTAGGAAGCCTCTCTGCTCTTCTAAGATCAAAATGGGGCCCAATGAAAGAACCCACAATAAAATTTTACACCAAGCAGATTCTGGAAGGGCTTAAATATCTCCACGAGAACCTGATTGTACACAGAGATATAAAGGTGAATTTTCTCCAAGTGTTATATTTTGTACAGTAGAGGGGTGTGTGTGTGTGTGTGTGTGTGTGCGGGGGGATTAATTTCAGTACCTCTTGCAAGACAGTTAATTTTGTTATAAACAGAAGTAGTACTTTTGGTAGGAAGGAGCTTTTAAAAAAACAACAAAACACCACACCGCCCCTGGCTGTTTCCTTTGTAAAAAGTGTTGTTATCATCTTTGTTATCAATCTTGCTGTAATCTTGTTGTCAGCATGTTGGAATCTGTTTACATCTATCTGTCTCTTTCTTGTCTCCAGGGAGATAATGTTCTGGTGAACACATATAGTGGGGTGGTAAAAATTTCTGATTTTGGGACTTCCAAGCGGCTCGCAGGTATCAATCCATGTACTGAGACATTTACAGGTAAGAGGAACCGAACAAATTTCTTAACAGTCTCTCCTTGGGTTGTGGTGGTTTGATGATGTAGTTAGCATTCTTATTTAGGATTCAGTTTTGGATTCCTCACAGATCCAAAGCTCCTGTTAAAGCCACCAAGAGCTTTGGGTCTGCAAAGAAAGAAGGGACTTCTGCTTTGAAGAAAACACAGAAAGTAAATTGGTGTAGGTCGCATGTAGGGATAGGCTTTTTTTCTTCTTTTTAAGGAGCCTATTTAAACTTTCTAATATAAAATCTTAGACCAAAAATGTCTGTGAAAAATTTTATTGCAAAACTTTAAACTCCAGTACCTCACAAAATACCACAAACTACACCATAAGAATCAGTGAGCTCTAAGGATGAGAAAATATTATCCTTCCTGTTTTTTGCTGTTCAGACTGAGCAAAAAATTGAGTAATTACGTAAGCATATTTTCCTTTTCCTGTCTATAGCTTCTTTGTTACACAGCAAGTTGTCCTTCCCCCTTGACTTTGCAAGCTTTTACTTCCTTTCTTGTGTAAGGGTTCTTTTTGCTTTATGCAAATCAAAATCTGGATAAAACCAACCAGCCTTTTATTTTCAAATAATGTGAGCTCTTTTTTTATTGACCATAACAAACAATGGGTCAGCCAGTTTGTCTGTATTTTATAATTAACTTCTCAAACTAAAGTATTCAACATAAAGACTCATGTCTAATTTATTTCATATTAAAATACAGTTTAGGAAAGTATGCATTCATGAATTACCAAATGAATAAGAGGGATTTTTAACCAAAATGTACTAGTTTTACTTAAATATTGAAAGAGAAATTAAAACTGTAGAAATAAAGACCAGTAGTATTTCATGTAAAAATTGAAATACTTGAAAAAAAAGTTGTAATCACTTTAGATATTACATCTGCATTCAGTATCTTTGGGGACCATATGGTATTAAGTTTATGAATGGTTTATGTATCACTTTGGGCCAGTGATTGTATGAAACTCTGGGGAGGGGGAGAGTTACCACAGCTCTTTCGGGAACCAAAAACAGTGAGGGGGTGATTAAAGTAAATCACTTAGGTTGTAAACGCCTCCAGAGAGGTACCACCCCCAGAGAGGCTTACATATACTGGTTCGAGATGAGTTTTCCAGATGCCAACAGACTAAGAAAGGGCTTTTGGTATAAAAAGGCTGAGTTGAGCCTTTTTTGATTCAGCAAATGGACAGGACCTTCTCCCCAACCCTTCTGGAAGGGTTGGAATGATTTTGGCTTACTAGGGCCCCATAAGACTGAGGATTGACCTCTGGTGAGTTTTAGCATGTGTATAGGAACTTCTATTGACTTTTATGTATTTTCTCTGTAATGCTTTTACCTTAAGGATAAATGTATTTTGCTTTGCGAAGGCTGGTTGATAACTTGTAGACACTGTTGTAGTCCCTGGAGAAAGGTTAATGACAGGTATTGGACCCCAGTCAGAGGGACTGCAAGCCTAAGCCCCTGGTCTGGAGGGACAGAGATGTGAGTCTCTGCCCCAGAGAGGTGACAGCTGGGAGCCTGAAACCTTTAAAAAAATGCTAAATTTAACAGTCACCACAACCAGATAGTATTCACCCAAGATTTCTGAAGGAACTCAAATATGAAATTGCAGAACTAAAAACTGTGGAACGTAACCTATCAGCTTCTCCAACAGATGACTGGAGGATAGCTAATGTGATGTCAATTTTTAAAAAAAGGATCCAGAGGCAATCCTGGCAATTACAAGTTGGTAAGCCTAACTTCAGTACCAGGAAATTTGCTTGATACTACCATAAAGAACAGAATTTTCAGAAACATAGATGAACATGATTTGTTGCGAAAGAGTCAACACAGCTTTTGTAAAGAAAAATTAAGCTTCAGCAATCTATTAGAATTCTTTATGGGGATCAACAAATATGAACAAGGGTGATCCAGTGGATATAGTGTACTTGGACTTGTAAATATGCATATGGCATTTTGCAAACAAATGGTGAATCAATCAACAAAGTATGGAGTGATTTATTTTGAAAGTGTGATGAATGAGGAGAACCCAATGGCGGAATTAAGAATATGTAAACTGAACATGAGCATGACAGATTGCAACCTCTTCCTCTGGTATGCAGAGGCACTTGGGAAAATGAAAAAGGAGAAAGCACCTGGGCCAGAAGAAGTAAGAAAGAGAAAAATGCCAGATGAAAAGCTTTGTGGTACCTATTCTGAAACATAAAGGAGATATTTAACACTGCGTACTAAGAAAGGAGTGACATTTACAGGTCAGCTGTCAAAACCTTTGGTTTGAAACTGGACTTTTCTTCTCCTAGGTGAGCTGCCTTCTGAGGCTTGTCAGCCTTAGCAGACAGCTCACCTAGGAGAAAGAACACTCCAGTTTCAAACCAAAGGTCCTGGCCCAGCAAGACTGATTTTAAGGCAGTCTTTATTCACCTTGATGTCGTCATCATGGGTCCTAAGTGGCATTTTATGGAGGTAACTGACACTGTGCCACCAGCTACCCCATCACATCCTGCTGAGATATGTCACCAGTTGGACTGCTTACTGACTATTTGCAGCTGCCCTGCATATCTGCAGGATGTTCCCCTATCTGCCATCTGGGGGAGCATGTGGTGGGAGTTGGCCCTTCAAGTTTTATCAGATTCCTAAAAAGAAATATCCTTGAAAGTAAAGATGTTGGCTACATTTTTTTTTAATGGCAACTTTTCCATATGCTTTTTATGGTCAAGAGTCCAAGGAAACAATTCACTTGCAGAAATATTATGAAATCTGTGTTGTATTGCAAACTGTGTCAAAATTATAAGCTGTCATTTTAAATCGTAGAGGCTTTCCTGATTCTGCTTGCAGGCTAGGATCCTGCAATCTGGGTCTTTCAGCAGTCAGTATGCAAAGAGCCAGCCTAGAGCCCGGTGCATTGTGCCCTTTTGGCTTAGGAAGCAGCCTGCTTTCTCTCTCTTTTTGGTTTTTGTATGTTAAGGTTCCGGATTTTTAAGTAAGAGTGTTACTTGCAATCTTCCAGAGAAAGTATATTCTGTTTTTCTCTAACTTCTCTGTTTGTAAGCTGTAAACCTAACAAAATCCTTCAAGCACCCAAGTGCATGTGTAGAGTTCTTCTACTGCGAATGGAGAGTTATTTATGTACTGACTGAAAAAAGAGCAACTTTGCAGTATAAAAAAGGGTACAAAGTGCATTTGACTTGATGTCCTAGTAAAAGATCACAGTAACTGTTCCAAACTAACTTGCTGCATGTTTTACTACATTCTTTGATGTTTATTTCAACAATATTACAATCTTTAGCCTCGGTCTTGTAATCAGATATGCACAAACAGATTGATTGCCCTGGGACTCTGTACAGGCATGCAGATCTGTCCATGCAGATCAGATTGCAAGAGCCAAGCCTTATTTTGTTAACAGGTAGAGTTGTAAACGCTTGTGTGTTTTAGCATTGCAATTCAGTATTCCAAGAATAACCATTTTTGTTGTGTTATTCTTGAATTGGTTGCTTGCCAATTTTGTTGTAACACAAGTCAGCTATAAAATGCAAAACTTTAGTGCTATCTAAAACCAAAAAACCCATATACAGACTGCATTTTATACTAAAACATTTTAGCTTTTGCAATCAGCATATAATTGAATTTCTTTCCTGAAGGTAAACCTTTTCATTTAAAAATGTTGTGACTTTTAAAAATTTTGATTTACATTTCCCAAGGTTTTAGTTTTTCATCCTTTTCTTATGATGTTGTTACTTTCCTTTTGACCTCCCTCGCCACTAGCACAAGTCTGATGTGTGGTGTTTAGGTATTTGTTTCTAGCAGTATTATGAGACTATTATGTTTTTTCCACCTATAAACAAGCTGATCTTTTGGTTAAGTATAACTTCCTGGAATATATAATTGTTACCAAAATCTCTGAGATGGGCAGCTATTTGAGTAGGGTAAGTAAGCTGCTAATGCCTGTTTGTTTGTTTTTTTTAATTATTGGTATTATATAATTTTGTAAACCTATTTCTTAACTAACTAATCCAAAATTAATTTATTAACATTCCAGGCAGAGCCTTTTCACTGTTGTCACTAGCGTCTCTTGTGCCCAGAGGAAATTATATAATGCGTGTTCCTCTTTCATTCGAGTTCATAGATCTCTTCATAATGTTTTGTACATGTAATATTTACAAATCTGTTAAGCCTGTTTCTTACTCAATAACTTTTGATGATTTAAAGTTACTAAGACCCCTCACTGAGTTATGCTTCCTCAATTTATTTCTGCTTGAGCAGCCAACTACACTTATGAAGTTAGTTATGAAGTTAGGGAAGTTTAGCTTTCAGACTTATTTTTCCTTGAAGCAATGAGAATGTGCCTATACTGTATTACAGACCTGGGAACTGAAAATGACACTCTTCCATAGTGGCAAAGAAAACATGCCACCTGAAAAAAAATCTTTCTTTGCATTAATTTATATCTGATAACAGAAGCGTTCTTTAAAGTGTATGAAACTACGTCTTATCATCATCAGTAATTGTGGATTGTCAAACACATGTTCCAGCCCAGCCCCCCCACATGGATGGAACTCAGTCCATTATGATTGGATCCAACTGCTGAATCTCACGTGCTTCCTAAGTGTCCTGGGTCTTGATAGTAACAGGTCACTGTTCCTAACTCTGTGTCTCTCACATGCACTCTCAGGTGCAGAACCTGTGTCTGACCCTCCTTGGGCAGCAGGACCTTTCAGTTGGCTGCCAAGACCCTAGAACCAGCACCACAGCCCTCCCAAGCACCCAGTTGCTTAGACATGTTTCCCCTGGCTATGGGAACTCTGATTTCCTAGTTAATCCCTTTAGGGACAATGTGGCAGAAAAGCAATGAATACAGGCTTAGCAAAGGAATTTCTTAACCACAGTTACATTTACTCTTAGCAAAGCACAACAGAGTTACAGATCCATGGAAAACAACAAATCCCTAAACATAACTTCCTGGTCTGATCTCGTCCCATCTGAAATCTCTAGTTCTGGTCAGCATCCTTTGGCAAGGCAAGCCCCTACCTCCCCCCTGGCTTTCTTCCTCTCTCCAGCACAGGCTTCTGGCATCTGGTATTGGATGGCCCCCTTCTTCAGAGAAGCAGCCTCCATAAGTAAAATCTCCTGTCTTTAGTCAGATGATCAGGCTGAGAAATTGCATGCTCTCCTAGCTAGGTTTCTGTGTGTGAAGTCCATTCAAAGTCACAGGTCCTGCTAGTAGAAACCCCATTGCTCCAGCAGGGAAGAGTCATTCAGTGTTAATGGCCCTTGATGGCTCTCTCATTATTAGCCTCTTCAAGGTGCAGGGCCGGCTCCAGGTTTTCTGCCGCCCCAAGCAAAAAAAAAAAAAAGACTGCAGCAGCGCAATCGCAGTTCAGCGGCAGGTCCTTCACTCCCTCTCTTCCTCTTTGGTGGCACTTCGGTGGCAGCTCAAAGAGGAAGAGAGGGACTCGCCACCGAATTACCACCAAAAACCCGGACGTGCCGCCCCAAGCACCTGCTTCTTTGGCTGGTGCCTGGAGCCGGCCCTGTCAAGGTGTCCCACCCTCTAACATGAGCACACAGCATCTACAAGACATTTCCTTTGTCAAGATTTCATCACCACCTGGATGTCTGAACCCACCATGGAAATTACAATACAGACCAAAGGTCACAGTGAAGGTTACAATCACTGGTATTCTCAAAACAAATGGGAATCCTCCAAAATGTGGAGTTCACAATTTGACCCAGATATTCACCCTGTTTGTCTCACATTTCTGCCACTTGCCTCCATGAGGTTGTTTCTTTTCCTTTCTCTTACTCCAGCCCTGATATTTTATTTGTAATCTAGGACACTTTTCCTCTTTCTGCGAGCCTTATCTCTTTTCCAGATCTCATCTCTCTAGCCCTACCTCTTTCCATCTCGCTCCCTCTTCAAAATCTCTCATTCAGCTCCTGATCCTCTCCTGCCAGGCCTGACCCTCTCTCCATGGACTAGCTCACTTCATTATTGCTGATGTTCGCCTGCTCTGTGTTCCCACCAGAGGTGGTGAATACAGCAAAAAAGTATTCCCTCAAAGAAAACCTATCAACTAGTTGGCTGCTCTCTGCAGCCCTTTTTATTCACATATCTTTCCAATTCATCATTTGCAGAAATGGAGGTAGGTTTAGCTTAAATAAGGCAAGAGAGAGCTTTCAGATTGTAAAGTAAATATATTTTCTCCCATCGGAAGTCCTCCATGAGGTGGGAAGAACTAAGAGTTTGTACAGAAAAGACATGGGAAAATACAATCTTATGACTCAGTGTTGGTGGTGGAGTTTGACTTAGAGGGCTCACCTTTCAGTATACAAGCCACATTTGAAGTGACAACCTGTAAGGGGTTTAAAGATATGGTGTATCTATTTGATAAGAAAAACAAATATATGACTTGTGTTCTTCCTTTTTTGTCTTGATTCAGGCACTTTGCAGTATATGGCTCCAGAGATTATAGATAAGGGGCCTCGAGGATATGGTGCACCAGCTGATATCTGGTCACTGGGTTGTACTATCATTGAAATGGCAACAGGAAAGCCTCCATTTCATGAGCTGGGGGAGCCACAAGCAGCAATGTTTAAAGTAAGAATTGTTTTATTTGCTGGACAGTTTATGAAACATGAAGTAGTACCCGTTAATTAAATTTTCATATAGTTAATATTTACAAGTTAAATATTCTGGGCAATTTAGTCTAAACTGATATTGTAATTACCTGTTGTTATAGGAGTGGCTCTGCACAGGGTTAAGGTCCAAACTGTGATCTCCTTATGCATGTGAATGATCCCATTTGCTTCAAGATGCATCACTCAGGGAAGTCCTCAGGGAAGTGCAGTGTGCATGGTGCTTTACAAATCAAATAGAGATGGTCCCTCAGACAGGTTAACTGAAGTGCAAAGAGACCAGGTGGCCTGCTGGTCACATAGTGAGTAGTTGCAGAGCTTAGAACAACTGTATACCTATGGATTTGCTGTTTGGAAACTTACACTGTTCAGGAAATATTAAGTCTGGCTTTTAAAGGCATAGTTTTGGATGCGCATGGAGACGTAACTTGAAAGTGGTTAATGCATTGGCATTTTATACCCTGCACTACAGTTCAAATACAGGCTCTACTGTTCAGCATTTTGGCTTCAGCCTGCATTGTGAGTAGGCCTTACTGGATCTCACAAAGCTAAATTGCTATTGTAAATGTATAATAGTGCCACAGTGCATTAATACAGTTATCTAATGTGTTTATTCAGACAACTCTTTATTTTAGCAAGCTGCTGCCACTTGTTTAACCACTTAGCTACTATCTGCCTTGTTGCCAGCATAATTTTCAGGCTCCTGCTACTTGTTCTCCAGAGTCTATTTTACATAAATATGTCAAGGCTGAAAAGAATAATTTTTCCAGATTTGTACGGCATGTGCAGAATGAGTGGCACAACTGTCTTAAAGGGTACGGCCACACTGAAAAGAAAATCCCCTGCAGCAACGAGTCTCCGAACTTGGGTCAGCTGCTCCGGTCTCACGCTGTGGGGCTAAAATAGCAGTGTGGACGTTCAAACTCCGGCTTCAGACCTGGCAAGGGGGTTAAGGCTCAAGCTCAGGGTTCTGCCTTCACTTGAATGTCCGCATTGCTGTTTTTAGCCCTGCTCGAGACTCGCTGCTGTGGGTTGCTTGGTTTGTGTGCATAGACATACCCAAAAATAGTTCTGTAAAATCAGCCCTCGGGATTAAAAATGGGTAGCTCAAGCTGATGCACCAGAGGGCAATATCAAGTTACTATCCAGTGATGTTTTGAAATAAATAAATTTCTGTCCAATCACATTATCCAAGTGTGGGATTACGTTAACCCTTTGAATATTGCGTAATTTCCAGTTGGCTGCCATTGAAGGGCTAAGAAAGACACGGGTCTCAGCACTGGGTATAATGAGTGCGTCTGGCAGCCAGGGGCTGGGTGTTCACGCTTGTGCTGAGAGTGAGCACTGGGTAGTTTGGCACCTGCAAAGCAGGACAGGTCTGGGCACCAGACCGAGGGAATGGGCTATGAAGGGACTCAGCATTAGGGCTGGAAGTTGGTTTTGGTGTTTGGGGAGAAGTGTGCTGAGCCCACTCAGTAACTGGGAAGGAGGCGCTGGCTAGCATATGGAATAGAAGGGCTTGGCGGCTAGTAGGGAGAATAGAGTCTGGAGCACTTGTGGTGGGTATGGTCAGACCCAGGGGTTGCACGAGGCTTAGATAGTTGGTTATGTCCATTTCTTGACATTTGAGTTGGGCCACTGTAACCAGTTAGGATACACATCTGCAGGGTTAAACATTTGCAGTAGAAATACAGCCAGATCCCCTACTGGCATAAATGGAGCCCCGTTGATGTTCCACTGACTTCAATGGACTTCTGCATTGCAGCTGTCAAACCCTCCACTTGCTGTCAATGGAGCTATGCCAGTTTACACCAAGCGAGGAGCTAGCTAGTGGCCCTTTTGCAGTTATTCGTTTGAGGCCAAATAATTTTCTGTCCATATTTTACTTATAGGTTGGGATGTTTAAAATTCATCCTGAAATCCCAGAATCACTATCTGCTGAAGCAAAGGCCTTTATTTTGCTCTGCTTTGAACCTGATCCGAATAAGCGTGTCACAGCATCTGATTTACTCAAAGACCTCTTCTTAAAACAGGTGAACAAGGGCAAGAAAAACAGAATTGCTTTCAAGCCATTAGGTAAGGAATTATCAGCCAAGTACAAGTCAACATCATTAAGTGCTACATAAAAAGATTTGAATCATTAGCCAATTCCTCTCTGTTATTCAGGATGTTGAACATACCAAGAAATCAACTAGAGTTAAACTGTAGAAAGTACCTTGTAGTTTATATTTATATCTTGTTTTGGCTTGTTAAAATCTCCCCACTGGCCAAATGTATAAACCATTTATAATAAAATTAAAAGTTCATTCGGTCAAGATTTTCGCAAGTTACTTAAATTTTTGGGTGCCCGCCAAGAGTCACCTCAAAGAGGTCTGATTTTCAGAAGATTGGTGCTCAGCACTTTCTGAAAATCAGGCTTGTCAGGTTGGGAACCCAAATTTTAAGATACCCAAAAGCACTAATCAGTTTTGAAAATCTTGGCCAAGCATCTTGATGTTTTGTGTTCAATTTATACAGATTGGACAGGATTTTCAAACGTTGGTGCTGTCACTGTGCCTCAGTGGTTCACAGAATACCAGATTCGGGAAAAACTGCTGAGAAATAGGGGCAGACTCACCCCACACTGGTGGTTATTCTATCATTAGATATACCAAGCCAATAACAAAAGTAAACTTTTTGTTATCCAGTGTGGTGGGACAGAAGTCAAAAATGCAGTCTCCATAGGCATTCCAGCCCTTATTTCACCACCCAGACACTAGACTTAATGATGAGTTGTTATTGAAAGCCAATTTAATGAAACAAAGGGGTCTTCTGGTCTCAAGAGATCAGGCACACAGCCAGGTCAATATATAACTTTATATATTTACTCAATAATCATGCTGCTGCCAATCCTTTAGGAACTAAAATCTAAAGGTTTGTTAATAAGAAAAGAAGAAGAAGACGACTTAAAATGGTTAATAGATCATATACATAGCCATTGCAAAGTTCTTATACCAGGTTTGTAGCAGTGATGTTATAGACTGCTAGCTTGTAAAGTCTCTCTGGTAACTTACAAAAGATTGGAAGGTCCTCATCCATAGTCAATATGCTCCTTTTAGTTGTAAATCCATAGTCCGGAGAATCAGAGCAGGAAAAAGGCAACATGGAAATATTTCAGGGGTCTTTTATATCCTCTGCCATCTGCTTAGAATTTTACTATTCCAAACAAATCTCACAGCACAGTTTGTGGAAAATTACTGGCACAAGATGGAGTCCATGGTCACGTGAGTATGTCACATGTCCGTACATGGCTTGATGACTCCAAGGGGTAGCCATTGGCCCCATTGAGACAGCGATGTCAGCAGGACGAGCCATCTGGGCAGAATGAGTTTTTTCTATGGCCCATTGTGAGAGTGAAGTGTCCTTAATGGGCAGCCAAGCTTGAAAAGTCCCTTCACAATGTGTTAGCTAGATTGGATGTAAATTACCTTGTGGGCAGTAGCGTAGCTAGCGGGGTTCAGGGGAAGCGTCTGCTTCCCCTGACCCCACATTCCCCAAAAGTGGCGCTCCGGCCAGCCGGCAGAACGGGGCGGCAGGCTGGCTGGCTCCCGGTGCTCCGGCCGACCGGTGGAACGGGGCGGCTGGCTGGCCGGCTCCCAGCGCTCTGGCCGGGGCTCTGAGAGCATTGCTGGGGGTCTCGGTGCCCCAGACAGCGCTCTGGATGGGAAAGCGGGGTGGCCCTGCGAATGCGCAGCTCCATCTTTCGGCGGCATTTCGGCGCATGAGCAGGGCCACCGAAATGTCACCAAAGGACTGGCGCCTTTTTTTCGCTGCCGCTCCTCCTCGGCTGCAACCCTGGCTAGGCCACTGCATGTGGGTGTTACCCCAGGAAGAAATACAATGGTGATACCAGTACATAACCAATATTCATGACTTCAGCTACAAAAATGATGCATGTTTCAGAGTGGTAGCCATGTTAGTCTGTATCAGCAAAAAGAACGAGGAGTGCTTGTGGCACCTTAGAGACTAACAAATTTATTTAAATAAATTTAAATTAAATTTAAATATGCTTAAATAAATTTGTTAGTCTCTAAGGTGCCACAAGTACTCCTAAAAGTGATACATGTATATAAACAGGATAATCATCTTTAGCAAATCATAACTTTTCCATTGATACCTTACATATTTTATACAAGTTTTGTTGCAATTGTCTAACAGTGGCAATATTCATGATAAACATGGTCATATTTCAATCATACAACATCACAAGTGCCCAATGTGGAGTATCAATATTTTGGCACCAATTGGCCTAATTTTCCAGTTACTGCTGTTTTTACTGAAAATCTGGCCACTTTGTTAGCAGGATGAATAGTAAGCCTGAACTTTGTCCTGCTGAAGAGCCCCATTCATATCTGAGTATCAGAGGGGTAGCCGTGTTAGTCTGAATCTGTAAAAAGCAACAGAGAGTCCTGTGGCACCTGATAGACTAACAGACGTATTGGAGCATAAGCTTTCGTGGGTGAGTGAATATACCCATGAAAGCTTATGCTCCAATACGTCTGTTAGTCTATCAGGTGCCACAGGACTCTTTGTTGCATTCGTATCTGAGAAAACTACCCATACAAATATCACAGAATGCAAACTGGAAACGTTCTTTTCTTCCTCAGCTCACCTGTTCTCATCCTCCTACCAACCCCACCCCAAGAAAGGTCTGCAGGTGCCTTCTTCCCACATTAGGAACTGCTCCATGCCAAGCAACCTTTCTTCCTTTCTTTTTGCTGCAAGCGGCGGTTCCTTGTCTGACCAATATTGGGTGGCCCCAGCTCTCCCTCATATGACCACAGGCAACTTCCTGATGTGGCAAGTGGAGGTGGGCCTACCTAGTAAACACAGGACTGTGAAGAGCCACAAGTTGACATGTGTTTTTATTTTGGTGGCAATTTAAACTCCTATTTGAAGATTAACTATGTCCTAATGACTATGCCAGAATTTTACACCTTCCAAAATATCAACAGTTTGCGATGGTGGAGACAAACACTCAGAAACTTTAAAAAGTAACAGAGGGTCCTGTGGCACCTTTAAGACTAACAGAAGTCTTAAAGGTGCCACAGGACCCTCTGTTACTTTTTACAGATTCAGACTAGCACGGCTACCCCTCTGATACTTGACACTCAGAAACTTGTCTCCCAGCCTAAATATGTACTCCCAGCCTGCAACACCCCTCCTGCATCGTACTCTAGTAAATAGGCCTGTAGGGAAGTAGTGGGCACCCAACTACTCATTTATTTTGTTCTCGCTTCTGGATGAAATGGGAGGGATTGTAGGAGACTTCTTGGCTTGTCCTGAAGGAGATAACAGAAGGCAGGGGATGCAAGAGAGGCAGATCGCTAGGAGGCCAATGAGAGCTCAAATCTTGGTACCATAGTCGTGGCCTTGGAGGGGTAATTGGATGCACTTGGTGTTAGTATGTCATAGGAGGAAAATATTAATTAGCTAAAAATGCTGATTCTTTATATTCACAATGACCAAACCCGCAGAATTACCTCTAAGTACCTTGCCAAATGAGGGCTTTATAGGGTTCAGTGTGTTGGAGTTCTGTGGTTTTAAAAGCACTGCTCTCTCTCACAGTTATGTGGTTTGCTTGTTTGCTGTCTCTTGCTAGATTATAATCGTAGTACGTCCCTCCCACTGCCAGTCCATGGGGAACAGGCTGGCAGTAGCAGCAGTGAACATGGCTCTGTCTCGCCAGATTCAGATGTACAGCATGATATGTTCTTTGAAAAGACAAAGCGATCTGTTTCAGAGAACCCAACGAAGCATCCCATTTCCCACTTAAGGTAAAGCTGTCTGATTGCTTCTGGCGTGGCCTCCACAAAGCTTATGCAGGTTAGAGTCACATCACATGTTATCCAAGGCAATTTGTGCATGTAATGAATAGATAACCAGATGTGTTCAATAATTAAATCTGTTGCTTAATCAAAATTTTGATTATATTTAACTGATTCATGGAGATTTCCCCCAAACGTCTCCAAGTATTATGCTGGTTTATACCAGCAGTTAAAGCCTGGGACATATGGGGGCTCCATAGTCCATGGGAGTCAGTGGCAGTCTTTCAGGTGATTTCAGCAGGATTTGGTTCAGGCCCTTGAACAGTAATTGCAAGTGTTCCCTCTATTTAAATACACATTAAGAAGCCTGGGAAGAGAATAGTTTCCTGATCAGAGGAGAACATGAAACATGTCTCCTTCAGATACATTTGTTGCAATGTATGCTCAGAATGAAATTCATCGTTATGCTCATTCTGCTTTATTTTCACTTCTTGTTATTGATTGACTTGGTGCAGCAAACAGGGCCAGACTAAGCTGAAGTAAACTGGTGTAGTTCCATTGACTTCAGGGGAGCTAGATTAATTATACCAGCTGAGGATCTGAACCGTCTTTAACAATGATTTTGAAATGAAAATTGCAGTGACAGTGAAATAAGATGAGATTAGTACTAATTATTATTTATCTATGTAAATATCCCTACCCACTCCCATCCGTGATTTGTTATTTCTAATGCTTAGTTATGTCTTTTACATCTTCGCTTGTCTCTGATCTAGTGTTCCTGATGAGAATTCTGCCTTAGAGGATCGGAGTGCTTCTTCTTCCCTGGAGGATAGAGATTCTGGTCTCTTTCTGCTAAGGAAGGACAGTGAACGCCGGGCAATTCTGTATAAAATTCTTAAAGAGGAACAAAATAAAGTTGCTTCAAACTTACAGGAGTGTCTCGCACAGGTAATATTTTAATGCTTCTTTTCGTGTTTAAAAAGGAAAATTAAAAATCCAGTATGTAGCATTTCTCTTTTTCTAACAGATGAGAGAGGGCACTTGTAGATTTTACCATTCACAGCAACTCACTCTTCCACATGCCAGGTTTATACTGTACCACTTTTCAATGGTCACTGGCTGGTAGTCGCATCTGATTTTTTAACTTTCTGTTTCTTTATTGTCTTCCTACTGGAAGAGGTTTCTGTAATGGAATGCTAAACTGTATTACAGCATGTGTCCCATACCTTACTTGAGTGTGTAACAGCTATACGGCACAGTGCATTTAAGGATCTTCAAGACTGCACCTTTCTTGTACTCTCTCTGTGATGGAAACTCTGTAGCCAGTCCATATCTGATACAGGACCCTGACCTGCTAGTAGCAGTCTGAAACCTATTATATACAAGGAGTACATGACATGGTGTCAGAAGTGATTTTCATGACAATTACTTTATCCATTTAAACACAAGAGGAATTTAGGCAGACAGAATGTAATTATCCAAACTGGAAACTGGCCAGGAAACTGGGGGTTATGATATTACTTGTATGAGAAGCGCAAAGGACAGTATACATTGTACTAGGGTGTTGGTTCAGTGTTCAACCAAAGGGAAGAGCACCACGTTCCGAATCATCAGCATATAAACCCCAGCTAACCAAGTGTGTAGGGAAGTACTTGAACAACCAAAGGTAAAAATGCCTTTCTCTTAGGGACAAAATCTTCCTGAGTAGCCAGGCTGTGTGAGCTGGTGATCTCTGCAGGTGTTGGAGGAAAAGAGTCCGTTCCTTGGGCCACAATCAGTATGTCTGCACTGCAAATACAAACCCGCAGCTGGCCTGTGCCAGCTGCCTTGGGGAAAGGGGCTTGGTCTAAGGGGGATCCCAGAGCTCGGGCTGCAGCCTGAGACCAAACATCTACACCGCAATTAAACAGCCCCTTAGCCCGAACTTGAGTCAGCTGGCATGAGCCAGCCACAGGTTTTTAATTGTAGTGTAGACATACCCATTGTGAATGGGAAGTCACTGTGTTGTGCCCCTGCTCAATGAAGAACAATGGATGTACAGGTAGTTCCACCTTCACCTCCCCCTCCCCACATTCCTGGCTTGCAGAGCAAAAAGCCGGGAGCCAGCCCTAAGTGTGCTGAGTCCAGGAGGGTTCCAAGAGAACTGCAACAGTACGGTTGTGTTTGAGGACTTCCACACCTACAGAGAGAGGGGCAGGAATTTCCTTTTAGTGGGGAAAATCTCCAGTAATATGAGAGCTTGTGTGATTGCATAAGTGTAAATTAATTAGAGCTGGATAAGAAACCAAACCAATTCTGATTTAAAAAAAAGTAGACATTTTTGTGGCTTTTTTTGGTGGTTTTCAAGTTAAATTTTTGCTGAAAACGCTCCGAATATGTTGAAGAGCTGCTAACATAATCAGCAGGTAGGTTCTTTACATACTCATTGTATTCTGTATCAGTGCAATTAATCTGCAAGCAAGAGAACAGAAGTAAAATTGTCATAATCAGATAGATACCCTGTTTCCCCGAAAATAAGACATCCTCCGAAAATAAGGCCTACTTACAGTTTTGCCTCTCGTTGTAATATAAGGCATCCCCCCGATAATAAGACCTCCCCGATAATAAGGCATCCACCGATAATAAGGCATTTTTCATTTCTGAAAAATAAGACATCCCCTGAAAATAAGACCTAGCGCATCTTTGGGAGCAAAAATTAATATAAGACACTGTCTTATTTTCGGGGAAACAGGGTATGAAAATGTTTGTTTGTTAGTCTCTTGTGCGTTTTTGTCTTGTATAAACCTCTCCCGCCCAGAAATGATGGTGAATTAATTGGTTTAAAGTTCTCCTTTCTATTGGATCCTGAAAGTGTATGGCATCTTTGAAAACTACCATCTTCATTTCACTGGTCAATGCAGCTCTTCTTATTCATCTACATTTTCTCTGATACAAAACAATCTAAATTCTATTAGAGAAGCACAGAGTAAGTCCAGGTAAAATGCTGAGTGGTGTCATGCCAGTGCACTGCATCCTTTCTAAAAAGGCCCCCTCTACAGTACTAAACATGGTTGACGTGAGACCAGTGACTTGGTCAGACATATTGAGCCAAGTTCAGCCCTAATGTAAGGAGGTGGAACTGTATTGCACTGTGGCTGAATTTAGCTCATTATCTGTATCCTGCCTTAACGGCCAACTTAATCATGCAGTACAATATTGACTGCATGTATAGCAGAAAGCTGCAGTTGCAGTGAATTGGTAGAACTACATGAGAAGCCTATTGGAATGGAAACAAAGCAAAAATATATCTTAGGGTTTAAAATAATCAGTGCCAGTGACTGCTTCTGACACAGTGATTTTCATGCTATGAGTTACGACAAATTCTTTCTGTGTTTAACAAACGTACTAGGTCTTTAATTTGTCACAAAAAGTCACTAACTGTAAATTCTACACTAGTTACACATCTGCTAACGTGATAAACAGAGAGAACCCATATTGTGACTGGACTTTCATGTGTTTGTCATCCTCTCTATTTACATACAGAGAAGCAAATATAAAGGGCACTGACTAAACAGTTATGTATCCACTCTCTTCATTTCAAGGACAGTCATTACAACCCTTGGTTTTGTTTTCACAAAGTAAATATTAAGTTACAGTAAATATAATTCTTAAGGTGTGACAAGGGCAGAGAATACAATACAAGTTTAGTAGGACTTGCAGATGGGTGATTACATTTCCGTCACTTTTGTGTGGTTGTGTGAGAAACAGCAGCAGCAAATATAAACTGTAACCCTGTAACGTTAGCACTGCTAAACCATTAGGTTCTTAGGTACAGGGGATTTATTGTTTCCTTGTGTGAGTCTTGACATCGTGCACTGAATACCTTTTCTCCAGAATTCTGAAGAACTGCAACTTTCAGTCACCCACATCAAGCAGATAATTGGGATTTTAAGGGACTTCATACACTCTCCCGAACACAGAGTGATGGCATCCACTATATCCAAGCTGAAAGTGGATTTGGACTTTGACAGCACTTCCATCAATCAGATTCACCTGGTGCTGTTTGGATTTCAGGATGCAGTAAGTCCTCCATTTGTCTAGAAGCAGAAGGGAGTGGCATTCCACTCTGATAAACCAAATCCCTGTACACCTCTTCCTATTCCCAGGGCCTTCCTGGCTGAACCACTGCTACTTCCCTCTGCTTTCCCTGCTCCCCATCCCTGCTCATTCCCTTCCGCACAGCCATTCACTCCCATAGCTCCTCTTGGCCCTTCTGCATGATGTGTCAGGAACTGGTGGGATATGTTGGGTAAGTGAGAGAGGTGACTGGGATGTGGCGAGTGGGAGGTGAGAAGAGATGTGTGCTCGATGCTATTGATGGTCAGGGGAAAAGGTCTGTTTGGAGAAGACCTGGGTAGTGGGGAACACAGCTGTATTGACAAGCTAGGGGGATGGGGGAGCGCAGTGCTTCTGTGCTGAGCCATCAATGCTAAATGGTCTCTCTTGATGCAGCAGTCATTGCTATCTGGCATACTGAGCACTATGCAGAGCTCTAGGTGCATGGAAGTCTCAGTGCAGAAACACATGGACTCCCGAAGCACTACTGCCTGGTGCATGAGTGAGCCAAGGCCATTGGTGCTTGAAGGGCTCCCCCAACACTATGTCTTGGCACCATGTGGGTGATCCCAGGATCCTTGCACACAAGCCTCATCCCAGCAGGCCTCTGATACATCACTAGTGACCCCCACTAGGGCCCTACTCATCCCAGCTCTCTGTTTGCTGCCCCATCCTCACTTATACAGCAGAACCCTGTTTATCCCATCTAATTGGGACTGGATTGGATAATCAGAAATTCGGATAATCCAGAGAACGGGAAAGTTCGAGGCTGCAGCGCCATCTGGTGGCCACAGGAGAGATCAGCTGCTTCAGGACTTGTGTGCGTTGGTTATTCGGTTAACTCAGAGAGCTGGATAATGGGAGGTCAGATAAATGGAGCTCTGCTGAACTCCAGTATCTCCCTAGAGTCCCATCTCTTTTGTTGTCTTGTCCCATGATAATCATATCAGGCCATGTAGTTCAGGAATGAATTTGGCAACTGTGACAGTGGCTTTTGTAAGGGCTTGATCCAAGATGTCAAATCCTAAGAGCATCACTTTCCCTACTATCTCTCCTGCCCCAGAGGCCACTCCCATACATCCCACTGCCCCTCGCTGTCCTGTTTTTGTGTGTGTGTTTTTTACAAAATATCAAAAGGTTTATATTTTTGCTAGTCGGGGGGTGGGGGGAGGGGAACAGCTCAGGGCCAGATCCTTCAGCATCTCCATGCACAGAATTTCTACTGGCTTCAGTGGGAGCTGGCGCTGCACATGTAGTGACAACACCAGCATTGTGCTGTTATCAGTGAACAACTTCCTTGGGACCTCCAATAAGGTTCCTCTGCAGCATGGGGCATGGGTCACTTGCTGGAGGATTCTCTGCACCTTGAAGTCTTTAAACCAGAAGTTGAGGACTTCGGTAGCTCAGACATAGGTTAGGGGTTTGTTACAGGAGTGGGTGGGTGAGATTCTGTGGCCTGCGTTGTGCAGGAGGTCAGACTAGAAGATCATAATGGTCCCTTCTGACCTTCAAGTCTATGAGTCTGTGAGGGTGGTTGACTACTCCTAAGCACCAGACAGAGGATCCTTTGACTTATACATTCCATTTAATTATCTTTTTATTTTATTTTATTTAAATACATGACTGCTTGGCTCCACTATCTCAAATGGAAGCCTATTCACCAATTTCTCTGTAAAAAATACTACTCAAATTCTTTTTATGCACTGAGTATATTCCCTTTGTGCCCTAGTTCTTGTCTTATCACATCTCCTGTTAATCCTCTTCTGTCAAGGCTAAATAAGGTTTTGTCAGTATCCCTTCATCTGTGAACCCCTCCATTGCATTTATCAGTTTAGTTATTCTAAGCTAAATTGAAGAGAGTTCTAGAAACTTATGTTATATATATAGTGTATCCTTAGTCTTGCATAATTTTAATTTTATTTAGTATGGCTACAATGCTGAGATATCTTAGTGGCTGCTTAGAGCACTGCATTTTATTAGCATATGGGAGATTTGGAAGTTGTTGTTCATGAGCTGGTGAAGTCTGAACTCAGCATCTAATAATTTTAGTCTAAGAGGAAAGGGTTGTGCTGACTTGTACTATACAGATTCCCATTAATTTACAGAGCTTTATCTGAATCTTTACAAAACAAAGTTTTGTCTGTGGTGTCTAGGTCCTTTGCTGATGCTTTTGCTTATTTCTGTACTTGTAGGTGAACAGCGTATTAAGGAATCATTTAATTAGGCCTCATTGGATGTTTGCAATGGATAACATAATTCGCCGTGCAGTCCAAGCAGCAGTCACTATTCTTATTCCAGGTAAATCAAAGCACATCAGTACTAGTTTCTAAATGAAACACTTCCAAAATGCATCATAAATGGTTTCACGTTCTTTCCAGCTGATGGATCCATCTCATTTCTGAAGTTTGTTAGTAGGGGGGAAATAGGGTCTTGAATGATTTCTCTTCAGCTGGGGTGGGGGGGGGGAGACGGTGCTGTGGATAGGGACAACAGTTTTTTCAAATAACCAGTGAACTAGGTTGCACAGAGTAAAATGGATTTACTCCTTTATAGTTGGTAGTTTTATAACTGAGGAAACCTAATTCTAAAGGCTTTTGGAATTAGGCCATAACTTACCCTTAAACTGAAGGGGAAGTGCTTCATTGGATGGTCTCTGTGTGTATTCCATTTGAGGTGCACCTGCACTCCATACCCGAGACTGGAAGACTTTTCATTATTGGTGTCCTTTGGTCCGTGCCTGTGGCCTTCTTCTCTTGGTGCTCCAACCAACGGTTGGTCTGCACCATAAGGGATGGTGCAGACCAACTGTCTCTCTAGTTCCATTCTATCACCTGTGGTCTGAGACAGGGGTCCTCCATTGTCCACAGCTTTAGCTAGTGTTCTTTGTTTATGTGTAAAAAGTTGTAAATGGTTTGTCCTTATATAAGTTTCCTCTAGAGCTAGTTAGTTTTAGGAGCCATTGTTTGGGGCTACTGCTGCACTCCCCACAGCCATGTAGGGGATTCCAAGCATGTCCAAGATGCCAGGTTTCAAGATCTCCATGGTTTTCCCCCGGGCCTTCCTGGTCAGCAACAACCACAACACTTGTCTGTATAGCCTCAGGGAAGCTCACATCCCCTCCAAGTGTAATATTTGTCAGTCCTTCCCTCACTCGACCCACCAATCCTGAGAGTTCTGACTTCAAACATTGCCGATGGATCGCTCAAGGAGGCCACAGTCCAACTGTGGCCCATCAGACCTCACATACACTGGTCAGAGGCACCGAGAAGCAGTCTTAGAGTGTGGTTGTGTCCACACTGGGAACAGAATTAAGGACTCTAGCAAACAGGACAGACATGAGAAAGGTAAGAGTAAACACTCTCACAAGATGTATGTGAGAAATCCCCCTCTAAGGAGAGGACATTTTCCCCAACGCATTCTATGTTGGGTGACACTCTGCACCCCAATACGGGTGTGTCAGGAGGTCCTAAGGAGCACAGTACCAGTTCCATGGCCTCGAGAGGCAAAAGTGCCCCGAAACCATCAACCACTGAAAGAGCAGGACCGTCCTGTGTACCAACGAGAGAAAGGAGTGAGTGGACAACTCCTACACAAATGCTGACTTGCATAGAGAAGGATTCATTGGTACTGAGAACCATTGTCTGCTCAAAACTGGCACTGCCAGTGCCACCAAGAGACAGAAGGCCACCAGCATCAGTGGTCAGATATGCTATCCTGGAGGATCTTACAGTCTGCAGACCCAAAATCACTGATTCTGTCCTCACACCATTGTTTCGTCACTCATTGGTACCATCTACCAGTGGAAGCATAGTAAGACCATCACTGGTACTAACAGCCCTGCCCATGGACACAGAGGTCTTGTGCTCCTCCAGCAAGCCTGGGATTAGTGGGGAGAGCTTACCAGTCTTATCAAGACAGGAAGTCAGCTCCAACAGAGGCTGTAAAATCTCATGGGCGCCTTCTCACTCCCACAGGACCTGGCTTGGGACCAGTAATACCCTTTTCCCTGGAGACCACCCCATTATCCCTATGAACTCTCTCAATGGCTTTATTGGGGTCCCGGGGATCCCTATATGAGACATCCTGAATACAGACAGACAAGAATGCAAGTTGAGGCATGTACCCCTGCATTGTGAAGAACCCCAATCCACTCAGGAATGCTCTGAGGAAGAGAAACAACTCAACAAGGCAGAGCCACTAGCCATTGTGGGGATATCATTGTTCTCACTAGATGAGACAGTCACACCAGCCTCACCACCTGATGACTATAGACAATTTCAAGATCTCCTAAAGAGAACTGCAGACATGCTTCATATCCCCCTGGAAGAAGCATCCCTCATAAATTACTTGGATATCCTTCAAAGTTCAGATCTTAGTAAGGTGGCATTGTCTGTCAATGAGGCTATATTAGGACTAGCCAAGATGGTCTGGCATATTCCAGCCATCTGTACTCCCACTCTGAAAAAAACAAAGGAGAAATATTTTATACCATCTAAAGCGGCAGAATACTTATTCTTGCATCCCACTCTGAACTTCTAGTGGTGCAGGCTGTCACTGAACAGAACAAGCAATATCAACCCAGCTCTACACCCAAAATAAGGAGGCCAAATGTCTAGACTTCTTTGGGAGAAAGAACTTCCCTTCCACAGGTTTACAGTTCTGCATAGCAAACTGTCAGGCTTTAATGGCAAAGTATGCGTTTATAAATTATAATCTGTTCTCTAAATTTCTCAACAGGCTGCCTCAAGAACACAGACTTCAATTCCATACAATCATCAAAGAAGGTAAATGCTAGCCAGGTCTGCCCTCCAAGCTTTGGTAGATGCAGCAGATACAGCCTCCCATTCAATGGCACCATCTGTAGTCATGAGATGGGCTTTGTGACTCCAATCCTCCAGATTTCCCCAAGAAGCCCAATCAACCCTGGAAGAGCTGCCCTTCAAGGGAAATAACCTATTCATTGAGAAGACGGACTAACCATTATATACCCTTAAGGACTCGAGCGACATTCCCTTCGCTGATATTTGGATGAATGATGAACTTAGAGCATGCTTGGAGATTGTACAGTCCATCCTCAGCAATAACAGAAAATGCTAAGCAGCAAAATGGAAGAAATTCTCCTTAAGGCATCAATTCCAAGACTCCCTACAATTATGACTGACCTCCTGTCTTTGAAAACATCAAAGTTCTCTAGTGCACTTGGCACCCATTAGTGCCTTTCACCCTCCAATGGACAAATATTCAGTCTTCACCCACCCGACTATAGTCAGGTTTCTGAAGGGACTTGTCAGATCCTTTTCCCCAGTACTGACATGGGACCTCAATCTAGTCCAGTCAGCATTAACAAATTCTCCCTTCGAACCTTTAGCCTCATGTCCCTTCACTCCTCTATCTGTGAAGGTTGCCTATCTAGTTGCCCACCTCAGCCAGAAGAGTAGGTGACCTGAGGGCCCTTGCGGTTGACCCACTTTATATAGTTTCCCTGAGGTTACATTCTAAATTCAATCCAAAAGTAATCTCATAATTCCATCTGACTCAGGTCATCCACTTACCTGTCTTCTATCCAGAGCCCCATGCCACCAGAGAGGACAGTGTCCGTTGAGCCTTGACCTTTTACCTACAGTGGACAATGTCTTTCAGGAAATCTTCTAAACTATTTATCTCCTTTGCCTCCCCCCTCATACATTTGGCGATCTCCTCACAGAGACTTCCTAAATGATTTTGGGATGCGTCCTGCGTGAGAGAGCACGCCTGACCAGGGCCCAGTGTTCCAGGGTTGATTGGGCTTCTTGGGGAAATCTGGAGGATTGGAGTCACAGAGCCCATCTCATGACTACAGATGGTGCCATTGAGTGGGAGGCTGTATCTGCTGCATCTACCAAAGCTTGGAGGGCAGACCTGGCTAGCATTTACCTTCTTTGATGATTGTATGGAATTGAAGTCTGTGTTCTTGAGGCAGCCTGTTGAGAAATTTAGAGAACAGATTATAATTTATAAACGCATACTTTGCCATTAAAGCCTGACAGTTTGCTATGCAGAACTGTAAACTTGTGGAAGGGAAGTTCTTTCTCCCAAAGAAGTCTAGACATTTGGCCTCCTTATTTTGGGTGTAGAGCTGGGTTGATATTGCTTGTTCCGTTCAGTGACAGCCTGCACCACTAGAAGTTCAGAGTGGGATGCAAGAATAAGTATTCTGCCGCTTTAGATGGTATAAAATATTTCTCCTTTGTTTTTTTCAGAGTGGGAGTACAGATGGCTGGAATATGCCAGACCATCTTGGCTAGTCCTAATATAGCCTCATTGATAGACAATGCCACCTTACTAAGATCTGAACTTTGAAGGCTGCAACTTCATGTAGAGATGGCCCTCTTCTAGAGATCTGCAGAGCAGCAGCGTGGGGCTCTGTGCATACCTTTGAGACATTTTGCCCTGGTACAAGGTTCTACAGATGTATCCTTCAGTTTGTGATACAGCAGGGTTCCTCAAACCCTCCTTTTCAAGGAGTATGGCTTGTGAGTCGCCTCGAACAGAATACACATAGGGACCATCATTCAAAGAAGACAGTCTGGTTGCTTACCTTGTACATCAACTGGAGTTCTTTGAGATGTGTCCCTGTGTGTATTCCACTGCCCACCTCTGCTTCAGATCCTTATCCTAAGGTTATTTGCTGTGGAGACGGAACTGGAGAGGCAGTCAGTCCACATCACCCCCTGTACCCTTGGTTTGGAGCAGAAGGAGAAGGGTGCAGGCATGAGCCAATGGACACTGCTAGTGAAAATCTTCCAGTCTCAGGCATATGGAGCACATGTGCAGTTCAGAAGGAATACAGATAGGAACAAAACATCTCGAAGAATGCCAGTTAGTGCACAAAGTAAGTAACCAGACTTTTCTGGAATTCTTCTTCCTCTAAAAGCAACTCTGTTCCCCCATTATATAAACAGAATCCTGAGTCTCTACCGCCTGTCTACGCTATTTATTACTTCTGCTACATCACCAGTACACCCGTCATTTTATAGACAAGTAAGATTGTGAACGCCATACAAACAGGGACCTATCCTCAGATGAATGCACTAATACTGCCACTGCTGTCGTTTAAGCCTGTTTGGAAATGGTGCCACAAAGTCTGTGGTTCAATTAATGTAAGAGACTAATGCTATCATGTGTTAATATTTGCCAAGGTTACATTTCACTCCTAGCTATTGGTATCTCCCTTATTAAACACCATAGGAAAGTACATACCATGTGGAAAGCATCAGGATAAAATCTCATCACTACTTTACTCAGTTTTTTTCAGTTAAAGAGGAAATATGCCACCCATAAGATGTCCAGAAGAAGTGTTGCTTTCCTGTGGTTTTCCCACATTCACTACCCCCCAAAAAGCAAGAGTATGTGGTACTAAATTGACTTCTTCATTGATTTGTGCAGAGCTTCAAGCTCACTTTGAGCCAGCTTCAGAGACTGAAGGAGTGGAAAAAGATGCCGATGAAGTAGAAGATGTTTGCCACCCAATGGAACAAAATGGAAATGAGGATCCCGTTGTCACATCTGGAGTGAGCACACTCAGTTCTGTGGTGTCACATGAATCACAGCAGCAACATCTTAATCTGCAGCTATCCAAACTTAAACAAGAGACAAACAGGTAACTTCTCTTGTAGAACTATGCTTTTTTTTCATGTGGTCTTCAAAAAACCTTCAAGAATAAACAACACACTCAAAAAAGAATGTTTATTCATAGGTATATGTTCATCCAACCACAGGATCCTCTAGTCAAAGTAGAATTTGTAGGTGTTCACCAGGGGGTCTCAGAAAGGTACTCAGCAATATATATAGACACTTGTGTAACTTTCACCAAATCTTACAACACAGCTCAGGATCTTTCAATTCACAGAACGTACACCGAAAAAATGTTGGATTCCCACTAAGCATTGACACACTTTTTATTTGTAAATAAGAGTTCTCAAGTAAGGATGCCAAACACTGGATATTAAATATAAGCACAGGATTCCCAGTGTGAGCTGAACTTCTGTTTTCTCACCACTGTTGTGGAGTAGTGGCAACTAAAATGAGAAGTTCTCATTCACCAGGTGTCTAAATTTCACGTCAGAAAATTCCAGATAATCACACACAATTACTGGTCTAAGAACTCAGGATGTAACGCCCAGTGGTGGGGACACAATCTGCATTAGACCACTCAGAAGGTTTTATATATTCCTATACAGTAGGACTCACATCAGCCCCTTCGCCCCAGTAATGAAAAATCTGGAGTCCTTGTCAATAGATGATACTGTACAAGCTGCAGCTCTGTTAACACAGGCTTAATATGAGACTACACAGTAAAATAAGGAATGCGCTGATTTGTTGTATTACTAAAACTTTAGGATCTCTGGGCACCATTACGATAAAAATAATCAGTCAGGATTGGGGCCCTGTAGGCTAGGTGCTGTGCAAACATAAAGGGAAGACAGTCCTTCACGGCGGAGAAAACTCAATATTGATGTAAAAATTCTTATTAATGAAAGAACGTTTTTTTACCCCATAATAACTATGGGTTTGTACAGTAAAGCGCTGTGGTTCTTTAAGATGTGTTGTCCATGTGTGTTCCACTTCAGGTGTAGCTTGAGATTGGACTCTTTGAGGAGCAACGTCCAATGAGGCCGTGCATGTGTCCTCTGGTGCTTCATAACTGAGTGTGTAAAGGATGGGACAGCTGCCAGCAACTGCTTCCCAGTTCCTTTGCTAATGCTGAATCCAGTGGGGGCAAGGATTGTACAGTAGCTGGGAAAGAGGGCGGACCATGCAATGCATGTGGACAACACATTCTGAGGAATCAGTTTTTGTAGGATAAGTAACCTTTCTTCTTCGAGTGATTGCCCACATGGATATCACTTCCGGTGCCTCTCCAGGACATGAGTTACTGCTTGAGGCAGGTACTCTGAGTTTACTGGAATAATGACTGCGGGACAGCTCTGCTGAAATGAGTGTCAGAGCTGGAGCTGTCCACCAGCAAATAGTGTGGGGTGACAGTGTGAACTGAATTCCAGGTAGCTACTCTGCAGGTTTCTATGATTAGGATGCCTTTCAGGGAAGTTGCAGAAGCTGCCCAAGCTCTGGTGGAATGGGTCCAAATGTACCCTACTGGGCCTCAATGTACCACCAAATAGCATGCCTTAATGCAGTCAGAGACCCATTTTGACAGTTTTTAGGTGGAGATAGGTTAACCCCACCTCGTTCTGTGAGCAAATGATAGGAACAATCTAGGAGAGTTCTTAAATGACTGTTCTGTCCAGATAATACTGACACACCTTGAAGCATCAGGAGGAAAGCTATGAACACTAGCCAAATGGCTCTCAATTCCGGGATGTTTAAGTGAATATTGGACTCCTGGGGGAGCAGAGGCATTGGGTCTGATGGCCTGGATACAGTCCCCATTCTACTATGGACAAGTCTGTCACTAGTGTTGTGCTGGAGACATGTAGAGGGTCTTTCAACCAATCATATGAGAGGACCCCTTGGGGAATTGTGACCTCTATACACTGTCATGACCTTTAACATGACACACTATATAGAGACGTAAACATTACACGTGTTCTGTATCTCAGCCCCTGGCAGGCAGAAGGAACTGGAGTGCAGTTACAGCCATCCGCCGGGAACAGGGACTGCAGGGGAGTCCCCCCCAGCACACAGCCCCTACCCCTCTCCCTGCACCCTAAGCTACCTCCTGCCTGCACACAGCCCCTAGTCTCCCCTCCCCCATCCCGAGCTACCACCCTGCCAGGGGATTATCTCAATCATCTTTGCATGCAGTGCAGGGAAACTCTGGCAACCTGTCTCACATGGCACGAGACGCGTTTCAAACAGGTTTTGGGCTGATGTTGTCAGCTAAGATGGACGCTGTTTGACGAGGCTGTGAATGGTGAGAGAGCTTTGCCAGTAAGGAGTCCAGTACAGCTCCCATGAATTCTATGCTGGGGACAGGGATGAAGGTAGACTTTGGTCTGTTGAATCTGAGGCACGTTGTGGCAAAGAGAACCAAAAGTATTCATTCACGTGTGGAGATGACTGACCTCGAATCAGCCAATCCGGGGTAGACTTTAATTCCTTGCCTTCTCAGATGTGTAGCCAGGCATTCAGTGATGAGGCCAAAGGTAATGAGCCTGTAGTGGTAAGAAGACTTTCCCCTAAGAAACCTGATGTCTTTTCTGTGAGCCGGGTAGACTTGCAAGCCAAGAGCCCGTCTTGAGGATCCAGCATGGGCATTATGCACACTAGGGTTACCATCCTGAACGTGAACCAATGGATGAACTTGAGTTGTCAGAGGTCCAGGTTGAGGTGCCATCCCATTTTCTTCTTTGGGAGCAGGGAAATAATGAGACTAAACTAACTATAACTAGCTAGAAGATAAATGACATAGTGTAGGGGTTCTCAACCCTTTTCTCTCTGACGGTCTCCTCCCCTCCCCGATATGCTATAAAAATGTCAGGGCCCGGGAGTGGGGGGGGCAGGGGCCTTGGGCATAGGTATAGTTTGACTTCTTATAGGGGAGGGAGGCGGAGCCAGCAGGACGCAAGCCACCTCCGCATGGTGGGGTCCAGAGAAGGAGTGCCACCTCCACCCCCTGACTCACCTCAACAGGCCACCCAGGCTGTCTGTGTTGGGGGATGCAACCAAAAATTATAACTCAAAAGTGGGTGGCTTAGCTCAAAATGTTTGAAAACAGCTTTGGGTGCAGGGAGGGGGTAGCTTGGGCTGTGTGCAGACGGGGTGGCTATGAGTGCAGGGTGGGGGGCAGCTAGGGGCTGTATGCAGGCAGGGCGGTAGCTCGGGGTGCAGGGAGAGGGGTGGCTAGGGAGCTGCGTGTGGGCAGAGGGGTAGCTCAGGGTGTAGGGGCTGTGTGCTGGGAGGACTCCCCTGCGGTCCCTGTTCTTAGAGGGCTTTGCCAGCCATGGAGCTGGGGATGGGGCGCAGCTCTTCCTGGCTGCTTCTGTGGGAGCAAAGGGGGCTGGGAGCTGAGGAGCAGCTTCAAGCTGAGGCACCAGCAGGAGAAGAGGGAACACTACTGTTGCTGCTGACTGCTCCATGAGACCAGCTCGAGAAGCAGCTGCCCGCCTCCGGCATGGCCGGGGGGAGGGGGGGGAGGAGGGGAGGTATGGAGCTGCCCCCTGGCCTGCCGTGCTTTTGCCTTGCAGTTTTTTTGGGGGGGGGGTAATGCCCTCCCTGTCCCCAACTCAGCCCATGGGCTCAGGGTTTCACCCCCGCATCGCCTAGCTTCAGTCCCGGGGGTGCCAGGGATCGGGGCTTCAGCCGCGGGGCCCTGCAGCCCCCTTGAAAGGGCTCCCGGACCCCCAGTTGAGAACCGCTGACATAGTGTACAGAGATTCAAACCCTACCCGTGTTCTGTGTCGCAGCCCTTGGCAGGCAGAGGGAACTGGAGTGCAGTTACAGCTACCCTGCCCTTTATGAGTGCCAGAGGGCATGCAGGGCACAGGCTCAGCGACAGCGGGCACTGCTATTCAAAACTATTCCAGTCTCTCAGCTATGAGGTGCACGGACATTAGAAGTGGAATGCATGTGGACAGTCACTCAATAAGTTACACTTACGATGTTGGGTGATTACAAACTTGCTTTCTTAAAAGTCAGTCAAGGTGAAGGCCCCAGAAAATCTGATTTGTCAACAGCACACAGACTCACAGGGTGTAAAAAAATAATAATAAAATAACCCCCGCCCCCTGTCAAAACCTCCACGTGTATTTACACAGGCTCTGAAATACAGCTTTTATAATTTGTTTTCCTTTAACTTTTATGCTATGTTTTGAAATGTGTATATAACACAGTAGTTTGATTTGTTCTTTGTATACAATATTTAGTAAGAGGTTTTTAAATTGCAAGTTGAAACTGTACTGCAAATTGTCAATCTTAAATCTAAGGACCATTTTGGTCAAAAGGGCCAGCAGACCAGCAAAACTGTTTGTTCAAAGACCTAAGTGCAGCTCTCTGGTATGTGATACAAGTCTGAGTTTTGTCTAAAGCAAAAGACGTTGTAGGAATATTTAGGGATGCACTGTTATCAGGAGCCATACATATGGGCCTTCTCACCAAAGCAAACACCTTCATTTTAAAACCCCAACAAATACCACTGGTCTATAATTTTTGAGAAGTTGGCTGCTTCAGAGATAAAATGTGCTATTTATTATGTATTTTGATGTGCTGAATTAAAATATGACAATTAAAACAACTGATTGGCTACTGTTTCTAAGATATTTAAGTTTTTACATTTTATGTCTATGTATATTGTGTAGATTGTAGAGTTTTAATCATAAATTGTAAACCTAGGTCTTTTCATGTGTTTGTGGTTGCTTTACATGATAATATTTCACCTGTCCTGTTTATGTAACACTTTAAAAATCAGCAAAAGGGTTATATACATAAAATTGATTATGAAACAAAAAAGGCAAAAAACTATTATGTACATAGTTCAGTCCTATTCAGTGTCTACTCGACCCTTCTTGGCTTGTCTCTTGTATTCATTAAATGGAGCATCTCTTGTCACTGTCCAGCAATAGTCTGCAAGCATTGATGGGCTCCATTTGCCCTGATAGCA